TTCCTTCCTTCCTTCCTTCCTTCCTTCCTTCCTTCCTTCCTTCCTTCCTTCCTTCCCCTCTCCCTCCTTTCCCCTTCCTCCCTTCCTTCTTCCTTCTTTCCCTCCTTCCTTCTTTCTCTCCTTCCTTCTTTCCTTTTCTCTTTATCAAATTCAAAAGCCCTCTTGAATACACGTTTCAGTTGAAAATGAAACTAGAAAAACTCACCAAGAGGATCTTTGTCTTTAAACAAGTCCCAGATGGCTTCAGAGATTCCATGGTTTCTGAGAAAGACAACAGAATTTTCTCCTGACTCTCCTGGAACCCAGAAGCTCTGAGACCAGAGCAGAGGCTTGCATCCAGTCCTGTTGGCAGGCCGAGCACTTGCAGTGGAAGGGCAGAGGTAACTGCTGCCTTAGATGCCCGTTCCCGTCAGGAGATGCATCGGCCTCATGCACCTCCGGAGCCCTTGCTTGCCTGCTCGCTCTGGACTCAGGACTCAGAACTGTTTTGGGGTTTTTTTTTTTCTTTTTTGGGCCACACCTGGTGATGCACAGAGGTTACTCCTGGTTCTGCACTCAAGAATCACCCCTGGCGGTGCTCAGGGGACCATATAGGATGCTGGGAATTGAACCCGGGTTGGCCACGTGCAAGGCAAATGCCCTACCCGCTGTGCTGTTGCTCCAGCCCCAGGACCGTTGTTTTTTAAGTGTATTATTTTGCAGCCCTTGTTTTTTTTTTCCCCCTTTTTATAAATTTATTTGGAGCTGGAATTACCACGGCTGCTGGCACCAGACTTGCCCTCCAGTGGATCCTCATTAAAGGATTTAAAGTGGACTCATTCCAATTACAGGGCCTCGAAAGAGTCCTGTATTGTTATTTTTCGTCACTACCTCCCCGGGTCGGGAGTGGGTAATTTGCGCGCCTGCTGCCTTCCTTGGATGTGGCAGCCGTTTCTCAGGCCCCCTCTCCGGAATCGAACCCTGATTCCCCGTCACCCGTGGTCACCCGTGCTGGGCTGGAGCGATAGCACAGCGGGTAGGGCGTTTGCCTTGCATGCAGCCAACATGGCTGACCCGAGTTCGATTCCTCCGCCCCTCTCAGAGAGCCCAGCAAGCTACCGAGAGTATCTCGCCCACACGGCAAAGCCTGGCAAGCTCCCCGTGACGTATTCCATATGCCAAACACAGTAACAAGTCTCACAATGTTACTGGGCCCGCTCGAGCAAATCGATGAACAACGGGAGGACCGTGACCGTGATAAATTTATTTACTGAATCATCATGAGAGCAGTTACAAAGCTTTCAAGTTTAAGTCTCGGTCATACAATGATGAAACACCCCTCCCTTTACCAGTGCCCATTTTCCACCACCAAAAACCCCAGTATACCCCCCATCCCTCACCCTCCCCCTACCTGTGGGGCAGATGATTTCCACATTACTCTCTCTCTATTTTGATTACATTCAATATTTCTATACCAGACCCACTATTATTATTTGGGATTTTACCCCAACACACAGATCTGCTGAAAAGGCAACAGTAGACAATTTGTTTTCCATTGCTGATTATGAGTAACATGATGTCACTGTGGCCGCGTGATTTTGGAATTCTGAAATTTTAATAATTAAATCTGGAGGGATTTCTGCCAAAACCTACTTGGTTCCGAGATTTTCTCCTGAGTCTCTGGGATCATGGCTGCTAAGCAACTTCGTCAGAAGCCAGAGAGGCCATTCATGGGCAGTGACCTGGGGTCTCATTGGGGAGGGGAGGAAAGGGCCAGCTCCATGCCCATCCTTTGAGGCCCCATGTGTCTCGTCACTGTGGGCCCAGACCTGACTGTCCAATGGCCTCTGGAGGATAGTGCCCACTGAGCAACCAAGAGGGAACAGGTGGAGGGACAGCACCCTTTCCTCCCTGGGGTGGCCCAGCGCCAGTTACCTACTGCGAGGACCGGATGCATTCCTGCCAAAAACTGCTGGTTTCCAAGATTTGTGTTTAAGTCTCCTTCAGCCAATGGTCATTAAGCACCCTGATCAGGAACCAGAGAGGCCTTGCCTCTGATGATATGGCTGAGCCGGAGGTGGTTGGTGGGTGTGTCTCGCACATACCTAACTTTTGACCGTTTACTTTCTTGGTAAACTTGGCCCCAAGTTGTTGGGGTCTGACCAAAGGCACAGCATCAATGTTGGGGTATCTAGAAGTCTGAAAGCACCATCAAGCTGCTGATGCACTCCCCTCACAGGTATAGATTGACCTGCAGGCAGCACCATACCCCAGGCAGCCCTAGTTTTAGACCTTTAAGATGGCCAAAGTGTCTAGGGGAAATAGAGCAGTGAAACTTGGCCTGGGTTTTATAGGTATAAAATTCTCTTCCACATAAAATTCAAAAAAGTAGATAGAAAATAGGTTGAATAGCTAAAGTTTGCTATTCAAATAATGTAAATTGAAACCATAATGCCATTTAGTGTTTAGATTGTCTAACAGGTTCCTTGGGGGAAATGATAGTTGATTCACAAATGGTTAGACTAATAGTTATATTTTTATGTATGTATATTAAAGGTTATATTTGTCTAAGTGAGTTGGTTTGCTGTGACAATCACAAGCATTTTTAATAACAGTGGAAATGTGTCCATTAGAATGCTGTCAACTTGAAGTCACAGAATAGGTCTTTAGATCTTTAAATTGAGTTAAGGGACCAAGTACTGGCATTAACCCTATTTCATGTTCATCATCTCACTTAAGAAGGAAGAGATATTCTGATTCTGTTTGGGTTAATTAAACAACTACTCAGTGCTGTGTCTGCCTCTCTGTCACCCTCTCAGATTTGCCATTTTGGTCTTCTGAGGGCTGGGCCTGTCACATAGATATAGCATCAGCTTTCTCTAATTCCCTAAATCAAATATAGCGTTTCCCAGACCCTCGTTCTAGGCTTCTTGTTCATCCGGATGACCAAAGTCGAGTTCCTTCCTCACCCATAAGCTGACCATTGGCTGAAGGAGACTGGGACTCCCAGGACTGGCTGGTAGTTGCCAGTTACCATAAGTTTTGTGGGGCCAAGGGAGGCGCCACCGTCCCTGACCTCTTAACCTCTTTCTGTTTTGTCAGTTTGGGGAAAGATGCAAGGAATCAAGCCAGGTCGGACCTTGTACCCTGTGCATCTTCTGCTCTCCCGCTGAGCTGTGTTTGGGTCTCTTCTGCTCCTCTGATCCCTAAGCCAAATGGGGCTCCTTAGCTGCAATAGCAGACCACCTCGTTGGAGCAGAGCCGCTACCGTCTGCTGCATTCATGCTATTAATAGTGGGCACCTCTCATTCTCTTTATATTGTCTACTTTTTCTTAATTAGTATCAATTTTATGAGAGGTGGACTACTAGGGTGATTATCAACCCAGAGGTTGGCCAGATATCTGTGTACCCCATGGCCCATTTGAGTTCACACAAAAAATTTAGCATGACTATACCTACAAGTTATATATGCATGTATGTAAAACTGGCTATTGTATAACCTGGGAAGACGTAAGAAATAGAAAATCCAGTATGTGAAAATTTTAATTCTTTTGATAATGGTTAATATTCATCTGCAAAAAGGTTTCTTTTCTAACAGTATTTACTGCATAAAAATTAATTGTTCCTTTTCTTTTAAGTGCCTGCTATGGCCTGTAGACAGTAATGGGTTTAATGGATAATCCCACCTGTCTTTATAAATATTCATGCTTCTATAATATTGAAAAGCCAGAATAAAATACAACATAATGAAACGTTTAACACCTCTTTTAAAAGTTTTTGGGCCAGGGAGACAGGGAAAGGGGCTAGAACACATGCTTTGCGTATAGGGGCCCCAGGTGAGACCCTGGCCACACAGGTCCCCCAAGCACCATCAAGAGTATCCCACCCGACCTCCCACTCCCCCAAGAAAGTTGTTTGCGTGAGTCTATGTAACGTGGAGACATAACTGAACCCTTGGGAATCAGCTCAGTTGATCCCAGCAACCTACTCCACTCTCGCCTTCAGTCCCGTCTGCTTGGGCCTGTTTCTGACACTGCTGGCCACCGTGGGCCACCCCCACTGGCTCAGTTTCCTCTGTGCCTCTCCGGTCTCCTGACCCATCACCACACTCTGCCAGCCCCGACTTCCCCTCTGCTTGTCACCTGCAGTCTGCTTCTCGGTTGCTAACTCCATGACTCCTTTTGTTGTTCCTGTCGTTGTTGTTGTATGTTGTTCTATTTCATTCTGGAGCCCCATATACAAGACAATACAAGCATGTATGTTAAAACCAAACAAATGTGTGCTACTTTTAATACGCAAGTGGGCTCGAGTATAAGAGGTCGCACGCTCCAGGAAATTCTGTGTCTCTCTGTTTCAGGAGCTTTAGTTTAGAGTCTCTGGATCTTGGCTGTTGATGAGATTACATGGTCTGGGGGGCAGTTTGTAAGTGTGACTGCCAAGCTACTGGGAAACTGGGGAGCTGGGGGGAGGAAACCGTGACTCCTTCTTTCCCCAGAAGCCAGCTTCTGTCTGGCTGTGCACATCTTCAGGGCACACCTGCAGGCATCTTGCTCTTTCCTCCATTCTGTCCTTCACCCTGTATGTGGCGCTGCCAGGTGTCTCTCCTTTGGACTCTGCATACTCAAAAAGGCAGAGCAAACTCTGCACCTTCAAATCTTCTTTTGCTTTTTTCTCAGCCTGATTTTTCTTCTTATGCTCGCTCACGAAGCCTCTCAGACCTGTTTTCCTTCCCATTAAAATCAACATGGTTGGATCCGGAGCTGTGACACACAGGAAGGGCACTTGCTTTGCACAGTCAACCCAGCTTTGATTCCGGCACCCCATATAGTCCCCCAAGCCCACCAGGAGTGATCCCTTAGTGCTGAATCAGGAGTAAGCCCTGAGCACCACCTGGTGTAGACCCACAAGATAAACACAAATTAATTAATCCAATAAACACGGTTTACTCTGCCCGTCCCGTTTACAGAGTGTGAACTGACCCAGTCTGATCTCGGGGCCTGCTGGGTTATTTGTCTTTCAGATCATCATCTGTGGGCGACAGGTCATCTGCAGTTACCTGTCTCAGTGCATCGAGTTAAAGGTCGTCCAGCATTACATCGGTCCGGATGGGCAGGCCGTGGTCCGGGAGCACTTTGACTGCCTGGCGGCCCGCGAGAAGCTGCCGTCGTACATCCTGGAGAACAGTGAACTCACGGAGCTGTGCGTGAAGGCTCAGGGCGACGAGGACTGGTCTCGAGACGTGTGTCTGGACTCCAAGACCCCCGAGGAGAGCAGCGCTGTCATCCAGGTGGGACAGCAGCCCCGAAGCTGCTTCAACTCTGAAACTGCCTTCCCTTGGTCGCCTCAATCCCGTAGCCGCCACACAGGCCAGGAAGAGGCAATGGGAACTAATACAAAGGGCTTTGAGCCACGCTGCTTAGACCATTTCCTCATGCATTTGGATCAATCCCCATAGTTCCTCCGGCCAAGGCTCAAGCCTCCCACCCGGGGCAAGTCGCTACTTGAAAAAGATTCTGATGCTCTGACCTCAGGGGAGGAGTGAGTGCCTTCCAGAAGATTCTTTGGGGTGTCCTGCTCCCTTTATTAATCTCTTCTTTCTTTCATCCGACCTCTCATCGCTCTTCTACCCCCAGAGGATAGCGTCACCCTCTCAGTCTGTACCCTCCTCTCTGCAAACAGACCCCTTCCCCTGTGTCCCTGTTCCATTGCCTCTGCCTTCACTCCTTACCTTAATAAAGTCTGCTTTTGTTTAACTTTCTTTCTTTCTTCCTTTTTTTTTTTAATGGTTTTTCTTTCCCCTAGAACTTGCCATTTCATCTACCTCCCGGGTCCCTAGTCCCGGCCTGCTACTAGTCCTGGCCGTTAGTGCTGGGTCTGGCATTTAGCAGGGTTTTCTGTCTTGTGGGCAGGTACCATCTTCCGACAGCTCCATTATTTACGTCTGGTGCACAGTTTTGACGCTGGAGCCCAACACGCCGGTGGAGCAGCGAATGGTGAGTGCACCCCGGCCGGAAAAATTCGGGTTGTGACTCTGACCCTTCCTGTTCAGGGAGAAACGAAGGTCATGGTGACCCAGGCAGGAGATTTATGGCCCATTTGTTTCAGCATCAGGCAGCTGGGAAACTGCAACAAAGCAGCTTCCTTAAGTTATCCCGTCGTCTTATTTTCATAGATTGTGTTCAGCCCACTTTTTATCATGAGGAGTCATCTTCCAGACCCCATTATCATACATTTGGAGAAAAGGAGTCTGGGGTTGAGTGAAACACAAATTATTCCCGGAAAGGGGCAGGAGAAACCGCTGCAAAACATCGAACCCGACCTTATCCACCACCTGACGTTTCAAGCAAGGTACCTGCTTTGCTCCTTCAGGAAGTCTGGCTGGGGGGGAGGGGGGGCGGGGGCGGAGGAGGGAGACACAGTACTCAGTTCTTTGTGTTATTCCACAACTTGGGAGAAAGGGTGTCTCTGTGGTGTTCTGTAAATTGCGGTGCCTTCTCTTCAGCGGTTTGGGATGAAGCACATGATGCGAAAGAGATGAGTGAGATGAGGGGGGCCGGAGAGAGAGCTTCCAACCCACCACCTCATACCCTGGAGCACCCCCAAGGAGAACCTCCAAGCCCTGAGCCAGGAGTCACCCCTTTGATGTCACCCAAAATCAAAAACTGAAAGAGACAGAGGGAAAGGGATCCGAAAACGTGGCTCCTCTTCTGATGGTGGCAGCAGAGATTGGAGGCCTCCCTCCCGCTGGCGTGGGCAGCGGGTCCGGTCCCTGTGCTGGTTCCTCCCCACACCCTCACACTGTTCCAGGAAGCCAGGCTGGCCCCACTGCATGCAGTCAGCTGTGGGCACTTGGTCTTGGATTTGGGGACTTTTGCTTTTACTTTATGTGTACACTACGGTTTACAGAGTTGCTCATACTAGAGTTGTTACAGCTATTCGGGGCTCCAACATCAATCCCGCCACCATTGTTACCTTCTTTCCACCATTCTCCGCAGATTTCTACCCATCCCCGCAACCTGCACCCTCAGCAGGCACAAAATAATTTATTTTGTATTGCTTGTTACAACAGAAAGACAAATGGAATTATCACAAAGTAAAAGAAAATGTGTGATAATTGTCACCATGGGGTGACTCAAGTCATTATGTGAGGGTTTACCAAGTTGCCTTGGCCTGGCTGAGCCTCTGCATGATTGTTGTTGCTTATGAAGCCTAGTGGGCCTCTGTGCTACTTTCCTGTCTAATTTGCTGGGCTCCTCCTGGGCTGTCAGTATCGCGGGTTTTGGAGGCATCGCCATTTTTGATTTGTCATTTTTCCCTGTGTGACTTGCGTTTTTTTTTTTCCGTTCCCCAGAGAAGAGGATGATGCTTCCGACTGTGCTGTCCCCATATCCACAGCCCTCATTAAGCAGATTGCCACCAAGAGTCACCCGGGAGGCCTAGTTCCCCATCAGATCCTCGATGAATTCTACGGAGCAGGAAAGTCCTCTCAGCCCAGGTGGCCGTATAATAAAAAGGATGCGGACAGGTAATGTTCTCTGGCATTCTGCTTCTCCCAGCAGGCCCAGTATGGAGAAAATTGATCCTCTGCAAAAATATTAGAGATCCTTAAAGGAGGTTTTAAAAGATATTTGTGTGTCACCTGCGACTTCTGGCCTATATTGGGTTCCAGTGTTTTTCCAAAGTGGTGACACTGTCGCCCTGGGGTGTGTGTGGGTGGGATGGGGCAGGGTCCCAGGGGTGTAGTACAATGAGGGAGTGGGGCAGTGTTAGTTTCTGGTGCAATTGAGGAGCACTTTCTGTTTGTTCTCATCAAGTAAGTAGGTCTCCAGGGCAGATGCTGAGTGGTGTTTTCTTTAATGCTGGAGAGGCAGCAGCAGGTGGGAACCTCTGGTCCAGAGCTCAGTGGCACACACATTGGCTTCCCCTGGGTGCATGTTCAGCAGGGGGAGCTCTGGGGTGAAGAGGCCTCACCTGAGGTGTCACGTGTCTGGAATCCTGGCGCGTATTGGGGGAAGACGGGAGTCCTCACATCCCACTGAGTCTCTTGGATGCGGTGTTTGGACCAGGAATGAGCAGCTGAGCCAGTGGGACAGCCCGATGCGAGTGAAGCTGTCCGTCTGGAAGCCGTACGTTAAGACCCTGCTGATAGAACTGCTCCCCTGGGCCCTGCTGATCAACCGGTCCAAATGGGACCTCTGGCTGTTTGAAGGGGAGAAGATCGTTCTCCAGGTTCCTGCTGGCAAAATTATTATCCCTCCGAATTTTCAGGTACTGTAGCTTTTCTTAATAGGTAGGAATTCTTTCCCTTCTACCACACTGAGCTTTTATTCTGGGGTGTTTGTGTTCCTAACGGATTGATTAATCAGTTGTGGAGGACCACCCTCTCAGGTGCCTACTAAGGAGCAGGATGTGTTCTTTGATGTGCAGAGACGGTTCTGACATCCTTCTTCTGCCAGAAGTTTTAGGACATGAGTTACATTGGGTAACTTGTTTGCTTTCTCATTTCCACTGGGGAGTGGATATTTGACAAGCGTCGCATTTATCTGTAGCACTGTAGCACCGTCCTCCCGTTCATCGATTTGCTCCATGCGGGCACCAGTAATGTCTCACAACTAATTGTGAGACTTGTTACTGTTTTTTTCTCATATCGAATACATCATGGGTAGCTTGCTAGGCTTTGCCGTGTGGGCGAGATACTCTTGGTAGCTTGCCGGGTTCTCCGAGAGGGGCGGAGAATTGAACCCAGATCAGCCGCATGCTAAGCTAATGCCCTACCTGCTGTGCTATCGCTCCAACTTCTTGGTCTCCCTATTAGAAACAAAGGCTGACGGGGCTAGAGAGATAGTCCAGGGGGCTGAGCACATGCTTTGTGTGCAGAATGCTTGGGTTCCATCCCCAGCACTCCATGATCCCCCCCTGTAGTGTCACGGAGAGACCCCAAGCGTAGAGCTGGCAGGAACCTTGAGCACTCCAGTGCAGTCCTCCCCAAAAAGTTATCGATAAGAACAGGACTACGTTCCATGCAAGCGCACCCCCTAGATAACTTTTGTGGTTTTATAGAAATTGTCTGATATCTGCAGGGTGGGTAAGAAGTGTGGATTTCAGAGCAACACTCCGTGTCCAGCCCCTGTTCTTTTTCTTAAGACTTGGATGCCCAGAATCATGTATTTCTGTCCAGTTATTCATCACAACAACTTGGAATTATTACCAAGAAAACCAAACCTCACAGGAAGATCATTTTTACTCTGTCACTACACAGTTTTCTCAACGAGACTAGCCTGTTTCAAGAAGGTACATCAGTTCAGAAGAAAATAGGCTACAAGGAACTGCTAAGAAAAATGTTTTCCTGGCAGTTTCCTGGGGAACAGTTGAAAGTCCTTTTTTTCTGAGCGCCAGTTCAGTAAACATCTTTTTTCAATTGCATTCTCCCCCCCTTTTTTTTAATAATCAGATGATGTTACCTTATGAAATTGGAATGCTGACCTGCACGAACCTATTATTCTCTTGTCACTTGAAATGAAACCTTCCATTTTTAGGCTTTTGGCATTTACAGTGTTTTTTTTTTTTTCAGTTCCTCCCATCCCACCCACACCCCATAACTTGGAATTTCATTACAAATCAAAGAAAATATTGGGAACCCAAATGATATGTATGTTGCCATTATCAAAAAAAGAAAGAAAGAAACCTTAAAGGAATTGGGTTGCCTAAGTAAGCCTATTATATAATAAAACAAAATTCCTGAGAATTGAGGTAAAAATATCAAAGTTTCGAAAATGACTTTATAATTGTGGCATTCTTTTTCCAGGAAGCTTTTCAAATTGGCATCTACTGGGCAAATACGAACACCGTGCACAAGTCCGTTGCAATTAAAGTGGTCCACAACCTGACATCGCCCAAGTGGAAAGACGGTGGGAACGGGGAGGTGGTGACGCTGGATGAGGAGGGCTGCGTGGACACCGAGATCCGACTTGGGGCATTTCCAGGACACCAGAAGGTAGGCACAGAGTCTGCGTCCTCCCTCCAGCCTGCCGAACAGTCACTTTTTTCTCTCTTCATCCTGTTTTGGTCTGATTCTTCCCAAGCCATTTATAAAGGCTGGATTTCTTAGACATTTTTTTTCTTTCTTTCCCATTCGCCAGTGATGAAAGCTATGTTACATCACGTGCCCGATGAGCCTCTCTCTCTTTCAGAACATTTAACTGCCCCTTGATTTATCATCTGGGGTTGAGATAGGAGAGCAGGGGCTTGGGCTGATTCCGAAACATCTAGTTTCACCCATCTTCCTTCAGGGCGGAAACTGGGTGGCTAACGTGGGAGGCCCGCGGCAGGAAGAGGCTCCAGCAGCAAAGTTTCCATTTCTGGAAAGAGAAACCTAGCATAATGACAGGGAGGGGTGCACATGCCCCAGAGAATCCACGCTAGAAACGGGAAGGTGTCAAACAGAGACCTGCCCTGTCTTTAAAGATACGACTACAAACACAAGTCTTGGGGACCAGAGTGATAGCACAGTGGGGAGGGCATTTTCCTTGCATGTCACTGACCTGGGTTTGATCCCTGGCACCCCATATGGTCTCCCACAACCCTCTAGGAATAACTGATCCCTGAGTGCAGAGCCAGGAGTAAGCCCTGCGCACAGCCGGGCAGGGCCCTCCGCCCCCACATAAATTGTCAACCAGTTCCTGAACAAAATGCAGATAGGTTGCATTTGTAGCTTCATCTTCCCTGCAGTACCTGAAAAGGATCTCAGTGGAGTCATGTGGGAATAGCAGGCCTTGAACTAACTATGCTTAAAGGGACAATGATACAGTGCTCTCAAGCTCTGCTCAATAATACGCGCACGATAATAACTGTCCCAAATTCCACCCAAAAAGGAGCAGGATGTGCGACCTTCTTCAGCGAGAAGTTAGGCTCTGAGCAGGTATCTTTGAAGAAGCTGTTGAATAAAGCTAGGCCCATGTGGTGACTTTCAAACAATAAATTTCTCCAGTACAAAGGAGCTGGGCCTTCTTCAGGATTCCAGGCTGGTATCCGTTTCCTCCAAGCTGTCTGGGCAGCACATGTTTGCTCACCAACACGCTGTAACACGGGTATACATGGCAAAGAGCTGTAAGCGTGCATCACCTCTTGTTGAATAGCTGTAAGCTGAGAACTACCATCCAGACCAGGAAGGAGGAGCGTTACGGCATCCTCCTTCAAACACCCCAGCCCCATAGATTGTTGTATCTTACTATGCTTTAGTTGTGATTCATACTTGTCCCCCAAGAGCCCCACCAACTCCTAGAAAGTACTGGGGATTTATAAAAGCCTGCTGATACCTATCCATTTATAAATTAAGATATTTTAGAATGTAATAATAGACCAGCATATATTCCTTTATCCCTAAGAGTAGTGAAGCCAGCTGTCATGGCGTCTTTGGAAAACGCCACTAGAGACTGATGAGAAAATCCAGAGGAGAATTACTCAGACAGCATCTCAGGGTCATCCTTCAAATAATTGTGGCCAGGGATGTAGCTCAGTGATTAGGCTCCTGCTTTTCATGTATGAGACCCTGGGTTCAGTACTCAGCACAACACACACACAGGCACACACACAAAGTACTGACCTGGGTCCCTGACAGGCACTTAGGGAACTACTCACCTGTTGTCACCAGGGGGCATTCTCTTTTAACAAATCCTGCCTCCCTGTGCCTCCGAGGCTCCTCACACATGATAAAGTGAGGGTGAGGGTGAGGTGAGGGTGAGGTACAGTGAAGTAAGGGTAAAGTGAGATAAGCTCAGATGAGGTTGAAGTGAGGTGAGGTGAGGTAAGATAATGTGAGGGTAAGGTGAGGTGAGATGAGGTAATATGAGGGTGAAGTGAGATAAGGTGAGGTGAGGGTGAGGTGAGGTGAGGGTAAGGTGAGGGTGAGGTGAGGTGACTGAGGTGAGGTGAGGGTAAGGTGAGGGTGAGGGGAGGTGAGGGTGAGGCGAGGCGAGGTGAGGTGAGGGTGAGGTGAGGTGAGGTGAGGTGAGGGTAAAGTGAAGTGAGGTGAGGTGAGGGTAAGGTGGGGGTGAGGGTGAGGGGAGGTGAGGGTAAGGCGAAGTGAGGTGAGCCAAGGGTGAAGTGAGGTGAGGTGAGAGTGAACTGAGGTGAGGTAGAGTGAGGTGAGGTAGGTAAGTGGCATCTCCCAGTCATGGATAGCACCAAACCACACACTCCCCCACCAACTCCAGTGTCATCCTAACCACTGTCCCCTTGGGCCATTTGCTAGGCCTCTTTATGTTGCATTGTCCTAAATTGGGGGTGTCCCTACATGGGTGCCAGGAGAATCCTAATAAACATGTATGTGGCCACCATCCCTGGGAATGTTCTAGCACTCACTGGCCCAGATGGGGCCTTCGGTGAGATGGCCACTTCGACAGAAGGGAGGGCACAGGTGAAATCCTTCAGGTTGACAGAAACCAGCAGCTTCTGTTCACGTCCAGAGCATTGGGAGCTGCTCCTTTGTGAGGAAATGGCCTGATACGTGAAATCCAGCCCTGGTCCCTCCACAGTGACAGCACAAGTCCATGCTTTGCTAAGCTGACACTTGGGCGGCTGCAGAGAGGTAGCCCAGGATGTAAGGCACTTGCCCTGCCTGAGACCGGTGACCATGACCCCGGCATACATCTGGTTCCCCACCAGCACCACTGGAGCCACTCCTGAGAACAGAGCCAGGAATTGTCCCTGCGCACCTCTAGGTGTGGCTCAAAACACCCCAAAGAAAAAGAGATCGGAAAGTAGTGTGGTGGGGGCGAGGCTGGGTGCCTTCTGGGGCTGGAGCACCCTTGGGATTGAGGCGTAGCTCAGTTCCGTACCCTGGACGTCCCAAGGGGCAGCCTGGCCTTTCCCACTGACCACACGGCTGGTTCAGGACTCTCTCTGCACTGTCTTGCAGCTATGCCAGTTCTGCGTTTCCTCCATGGTGCAGCAGGGCATCCAGATCCTCCAGATCGAGGACAAGACCACGCTCATCAACAACACGCCCTACCAGCTCTTCTACAAGCCACAGCTCGCCGTCTCCCGGCCTCACGCTGGACAGGAGGTAAGCAGCTCGGAGCGTGACACAGGGACAGACCTCGGTCTTTCTGCCCTCCTGGAGCCCACACCCAGGACAGAGCTGACACGGAATCTAAATCGAGAAGCTCATTTTCTCTCGCTTTAATTAGAGCCACGCTTGTCATGGTTCGTGTGTCCAGGGTCATTAATGAGCAGAAATCCGGGGCGGGGGAGGGGGGGCAGGATCCTGACGCTCTGCAGGATCAGAGCAGCCAGCGCCCAGCTGCAAAGGCTGCACAGCCAGCACGATTGCTCCCCAAGCCCCAGCCCCCCAAGTGGGCCCAAGCCTGGCTCCCAGCCCCGGGGGAACAACATCTGCCTGGCAGGCGCTGCTGCCCACTCACACCCACCAGACAGGCAGTGTGAGCGTGGCACCATCTCCCATGGCGGAAGGGGTAGAGCTCAGGTCCAAGAAGAATTTTTAGACTTGGCTCTTGATTCAATTAAAATGAACAGTTACATCTTGAGAGGGCTTTAGAAGGGCTTAAACGCGGAATGTGCTGCGGTCGTGTGGTCTGGAGCAAAGGGCTGGGCACAGGCTCTGCAGGCAGGAGCTTCGGGCTCGGCTCTCGGGACTGCTTCTCCTGCACCCCATCCTGCGAGCAGCCAGGCACAGCCCACGGGTTCCAGAATAAACACCCAGAATCTGCGAAGCGGTGTGCTGTTATTTCACACTGTGAAATGGTTCTGTCAGAAGGATGCTCTTTCCTGCCATTGTTTGCACTTACTGTTTTCTCTGTCAACTCCAAAAAAAAAATCACTAGAGCCAATTGGGTGACAGTCTGACAAGCTTATAGTGCCTTGTCATGTTTACCAAAGTGTCAGCACAGGTTAACTCCCAAGTTACAAAAGCATAGCATCAACTGTCTTCCTGTGTCTATACAAAAAGAACATTGCTCTGAATTAACTATGCAAAGGACATAAGGAGAAGAGAAAAGCAATATTTACAAGTTTATTTACAAACTTACAAATTTTACAAATCAGCGTGTGATTAGGAGATAAAGGTAGTTGACCAGATGGGGAAGCAGAGCACAAAGAAAGAGGTTACAGATAAACACAGAGGGATGGGAGTGCCTCGAGAGCACTGTGATGGGAGTAACCCTATAAACCTAAGCTCCCTGTGGCAAGGCAGAAAGGAAAAACCAGTGTTATTCTACACAGGAGGATTTCATCAAGATTCCCTTCAGCATTAATGGCCTGAGTAAAAGAGATTCAGGAGGAGCACTTCAAGGGGCCTAGTGCCCGGAACACAGGCTTCGCATGTGAAAGGCCCAAGTTCAGTCCCCAGCACTGCCTGTTCCCTGAGCAAGCTGAGAACAGTCCCCAAACAGCACCCGGTATTAACTCCCCCCCCAACAAAAAATAAACATAAAACTGAAAAATGAGTAGATGGCCGAGTTCCTGCTGAGAAACGGAGGCCAGTGGGTGTGGGTGGGGGACGCAGGGGTGTCCCCACTCCCGCCCGCCTTCCCAGCAGCCCACGCCCCTCCCAGGATACCCACTGTCTGCACCGGCTTTCCCCCATGGGCAGCGGGTGTAGCTTCGCCTCCTTACAGGCCTTTGGTGGGAGCCCAGTAGGACTGGGCAAGCCGACAGGCCGGCCAGTCCACCAGTGACCACAGCCTGATGATCTTCAGCTTCCAGAGGGAGAGAGGAGCCCCATGCTGCCCCGTGCTCCCGCGCTGCGAGGAGTGCTCTCATTCACCCTGGTGCAGGGAAACCCTGAATTCTCTGGGAGTGTGTGGGAGACCCCAGGAGCCACCCCCTAGAGGAGTTCCCGAAAATGAGCCCAGTGGGTCCTTTAGGAATCTCGGTCGCAGCGACTCTCACACAGGAGTGTCCAGCAGAGGCTCTGCGCCGCCCCCCACCCCCCGTCGAGCCAGTGTGTGTTCTGGTGTCCGCGCTCCACTTCCCCAGCCTGTGTCTCTGCAGCTCTGTTGCCCCAAAGTGCCCTGGCACCACAGCCCTGCCCGGGAAGGTCCTTCCCATCCCCCCTCCTCCCCCGATTTTGTTCACACTCCTGGGGGCACTGGGGCCTGCTGAGGACTTGGCTGCCTCCCCTTATCACGTTCCCAGGCACCTCGGAGGCGCCCGCAGCTCTGTCCCCTCCTCCTGGTCTCCTCTGGGGTCCTTCCAGGATCAGGAGCCCTCGTGGCTGCCAGGGCCATCTCCAGAGAGGCTGATGCTCCCAGTCTCTCCGACGGAGCCCGGGAGCCAGCACGGTGTGCGGGCGGTAACCGTGGCCCTCTGCCTTGTCTTCTCTGCCCACAGTACTTCCACATCCCGGACAGCACGACCTTCAGCCTCAGCCCCCAGGAAGAGCAGCCGGCGGGCGGCTACAGCTCCCTCCCTTGCTGGGACCTCATGCCCGATGTCAGCCCATCCGCCTGGGATGCGCCGCAGCTGCAGAAGCAGATCCTGCTGGCCTTCTCACCGGGCACGGGCAGCGACAGGGCCGCCTGCTGGAGCCTGCCCGCCCCTGTCCGCCAGGACTTCCCCAGGCAGAGCGTGGCCGTGCCCTTGCGGAGCAGCGTGGATGACGGACTCTGCACCCGGTATGTCGCAGCCTCTGCCTGAGCTGTCCAGGGGCCGTTGGGGGACAGGGGGGACCCAAAGGCGGCCCCCCACCGCATATGGAAAACTTAACGGCTTCAGAAGGCAGCTGGTGACATGTTATGGCCACAAACGGATGGTTCTGGGCTGAGGTGATGAGGTTTCCCCCTTTCTGGCTTAAACCAGGACATGGTAGCATTCGTGCAGGCCCCAGCCGCAGTGCCCAACAAATAGTATCTTCTGTTAAAGCTTTCTTTAGACCCTTTCTCAGGCCAAAGAGTTGAAAAGTAAGGCTTAAGATGAGAGTCCAGCGAGGAAACCTTTTTCTTTTCCCATGCTTTACTTCTCCTTCAAAACATGATTTTTCTCCCAAATCCCAAAGACATTCGGAGAGATGAGTCAGGTGGCACAGGCCACGGGAGAGCCAGTGGCCATGAGTTGCTGCACTCCTGCAGGAACGGCCACAGAGCCGAGCCGTCACTGGAGCACGCGTGGCCGCTTCCCTGGCCTTGCATTCCGTGGCTTGCTGGCGCCTGCCCTTCGTAGCCATCAGGAAGAACCTGTGGTGTAATTACAGAATACACAGCAAAGCGGAGTGCGACCTTATTCTCACAGTTAGGAACTGACAGGCTTTATTAGAGATTTCAGCCATCCTAACTTTTTGATATCTACGGAAAGTTTTTATAGGAAAGATTTTAAAGGCAGCTTCTCTGAAAAGATAGAACCCGCACAGCAGAGCCTGGCAAGATACCCGTGGAGTATTCAATATGCCAAAAACAGTAACAAGTCTCACAATGGAGACATTACTTGTGCCCACTCGAGCAAATCGAACAACAGGAGGACAGTGCTACAGTGCTACAGGCAACTCAGGACTGAGTTCGGCACATATCTGACTTCTTGGGTCAGTCTGAACAGTCCTAGTAATTTAAATTTCAGCGAAGACTCTTTTGTTCCCCTGCCCCAGTATGAAATGATGTTTGCTAGCCTCTACTCCTTTATTGCTCATTTTCTCTCTCCAAACCGTTGTAGCAAAAGCAGCTAGTACTCACCAGAGAGTTTTTCTTTTTTTTTCTTTCTTGTTTTATCTATTATTTTTTTTCTGGGGCTTTTTCTTTGGGCCACATCTGGCTGTGCTCAGGGATTACTCCTGACTCTGTGCTTAGGGATCACTCCTGGAGATGCTCAGGGGACCCGTATGGGGTTCTGGGGACCCAACCCAGGTTGGCCATGTGTGAGGCCACCTTCCTTACTGTACTCCTGACACCTTTGGCTCTGTGCCAGTGGCCACAGTTGACATCCTCTGAGGAGGAACCATCTGTGGAGATTGTTCATACCATGCCAGCCCACCTGTGCCCCAGAAAAAGAGCAAGCCCTGGAGTTCTCTGAGACCCTTCAAGAGCATGGGCGCCCCTGGGTGCATCTCCCAGACACAGAGGGAGATGCTGGGTGGCATCTGTGATCCTCGCTGTGATCCTCGGCCCAGGAGCTTAGACGGGTTTTGTTTGAAATGATGTTTCACGCTTGTAAAATAACAGACTGTGAATGTCCATCATATTGCTGCCTGAGGGTCAGGGATATCCTGGAACCTTTCACCTCACATGGTGGTCAGCAGACGGGGCTTCCTTCCTGCGGATGACCTGAAGGCCGAGTTATAAGGGGGGACGGTGCCCGAGGCTTGGCGAACACCCCAGCTCCCGTGCAGACTCACCGGGAGACGCAGCAGCCTCTGATTTTCTGACCCATCCGTGTGGTTTGTTTGCCTCTGCCCAGAGCCATAGTGCTGACCTACCAGGAGCACCTTGGGGTGACCTACTTAACCCTCTCAGAAGACCCCAGCCCACAGATCATCATCCACAACAGATGCCCGGTGCCGATACTGGTGAAGGAAAACATCAAAGGTAATTGCTGGGGGTTGGTCGTAAACTAGCCAAAACCCAGGTCCCCTCTGGGGGTTTGGGGCGAGGGAAGTTTCAGGGAGAGCCACGCACGCGACCCTTGGGGGACTTTCCCTGCCACCTCAGCTCTCCAAGCCCTGACGCCCTGTCCACAGCCCTGAGGATGCAGATGTCTCATTATCATGTTTATTCATTGCAGATGTTCCCAAGTTTGAGGTCTATTGCAGACAAGTTCCCCCTGAGTGCTCTGTTCACCACGAGCTGTACCATCAGCTTGCCAGCTACCCCGACTGCAGGACCAGAGACGTGCTCCCCAGCCTCTTCCTGAGCGCCACCGGCACCGAGTGGAGCGACGCCCTGGACACCAACAGTCAGGGCACACAGGTGAGCTGGCCTGGGGGGTGTCCAAGGACCTTTCTCCACGTTCCCACCCCCCCTCCCCTCCCTCCTGCCCCGTCCCTCCCTCCCGCCCCTTCCCTCCCACTTGTCCTCTCCTCCCGCATACCCCCTGCCCCTTTCCTCCCACATACCCCCATTCCCCCCTCCAACCTGTCCCTCCCCCACGCATACCCATCTGTGCCTCCTGCACTCCCCTCCCACCTGTGCCCACCTGCACCTCTCCTGCCACATGCACCCTCCAGTACCTTCCGTTCTCAGTTCCCCGACAACCAGGCCGCCCCAGCATGTGGCAGAGAGGCCACTTGGGTAGAGCAGGTCCAGCCTGGTCTGATCCCACTCAGAAAGAAAAAGGATTGTTCCAGAAGCCTCTTACCCAGAAGGCGGTTTGGCTGCTTTGATTTCCCGACGTCATGTCAGCCAGCCTGAGGGTGGTTCCCTTCAGATCTCCCAAATTAGAAAGAAAAGTGAGTGGTTGCCACAAGGGAACATTGAGGGGAATATGTGGCCCAAGGGGGGAGGCTTCTCGCTGACTTTTTGGTGACTTGAAACCTAGTATGTTAGAGTGCAGTGTGACTAAAGATTAAAGAGGTAAAAGTATTAACTAGGACTGATTTTTTAAAAAATATTTTCAGTGTTATTTATTTGCTTATTTTATAATATGCACCTTTACTCTAGTAATAAAGTACAGTTTTTTTTCTTAAATTTTTATTAGTGAAACACCATGAGGTACAGTTGTAGACTTACAAATTTTTGTGCTTGGGTTTCAGTTATACAATGATCGGATACCCATGCCTCCACCAGTGCCCATCTTCCACCACCAGTGATCCCAGTATCCCTCCCACCCCCCTTCCCCCATCCCCCATCCCACCCTACCACTGTGGCAGGGCACTCCCTTTTGTTATCTCTTTCCTTTTGAGTGCTGTGGTTTGCGAAAGAGATACTGAGTGGCAATCTTGTTCAGACTCTAGTCTACTCTCATCACGCATTTCCCATCCTGAGAGGAACCTCCCAACACCCTTTATTTGGTGCTCTGTTCTCTGTCTGAGCTGCCTTTTCCCCTAGCGTGTGCGGTTGTCCTCAAAGCCATGGAGTAATCCGCCTGGTACTTATCTTGGCTATTCTTGGGTGTTAGTCTCCTATTTTGTTACTTTATGTTACCCAGATGAATGCACTCTTTCTATGTCTATCCCTCTCTTTCTGACTCATTTCGCTTAGCATGATACTTTCCATGTAGTACCACTTGTATGTAAATTTCATGACTTCATCTTTTCTAACAGCTACATAGTGTTCCATTGTGTAGATGTACCAAAGCTTCTTTAACCAGTCGTCTGTTCTTGGGCACAATAAAGTACAGTTTTAAAAACCCTGCAAAGGAGAGAAATGACACGAGAGAGGGCAGGGCCCTTGCGTTGTATATGACTGACCTGAGTTCCATCCCTGGCACCCATATGGTCCTTTGGAGCCCACCAGGAGTCATCCCTGAGTGCAGAGCCAGGAGTGAGCCCTGAGCACCACTAGGCATAGCCCGAAGTCTGCCCCTCCAATAAATATATAAATAAATAAAGCCTTGGAGGTCAGAGAGGGGACACTGTTCATGGAGGGCCTGAATGACACTGGGCCAGGTGGAAGGTATGTGTGAGGCGGGGCGGGGTGGGCAGGGAGACCTGGCAGGACCCACATACCCAGGGAGAGTGTTCGCATCTCTAGACACTCCAGGCTGTCGAGTGGATTACATGAAGCTGTTTCTGAGCCATAGAAATCACTAAGGAGAAAGAGGAATTTGCATCCCCAAAAGTAGATTCACATGTGCCCTGGGAGGGCACATTCTCTGTGGAGGTCCGGCTGTCCTCTGCTCTTTCACTCTCAGCTGACTGTTGTCTTGAAAGTTGTGGAGACCTGTCAGAGGCCATTTTTGGGGGTTGCTTTTCTGAAGACCCATCTCGCAGCTTCCATTCCTCCTTTCTTTATTGGGAAATCTTTATCAAGGCCTTGTGGGGCCCAAACCGTGACCCTAAATAAGATAGATGATCCTGACCTCCAAGGTCTCTCCCTCGAGTCCAGTGCAATGAGAGTGGAGACAGAACCTTGGTGGAGGCAAATATTCTAGGATGTCCAGAATGTGACTTTCAGGCTGCTTCCCCTCCTGGGAGAACAGAGACTTCAAAAGAAATCTGCCAGCGGCTTAGAACTTAGACGTCAGGTGGACTCCTGGTGCTGCTGCCACGGGCCTGGCTGGCATCTCCCTGTACCAGGCTCCGCCACTGTCCTCCTAGGCCTGGCCACAGACCCCCAAAGTGCTCCAAGAGGTGCACTCCTGGCCCCCTTGTCCAGGAGTCGCCCCCTGAGATAACAGCTCTCACCGGCCCTGGCACCTTCAGACAGGACTCTCCTTTTTTATTTTTTATTTTTTATTTTTGTAATTTTAATTTAGGAGTATTGCTGTTTATTCGGCCATTGATTAGTCTGCTTGAATTGGGCATGATCACCTTATTTTTTTTCCCTTTTTATAAATTTATTTATTGAATCACCATGAGAGCAGTTACAAAGCTTTCAAGTTTAAGTCTCGGTCATACAATGATGAAACACCCATCCTTTCACCGGTGCCCATTTTCCACCACCAAAAACCCCAGTATACCCCCCATTGCACACCCTGCCCCTACCTGTGGGCAGATGACTTCCACATTACTCTTTCTCTACTTTGATCACATTCAATATTTCAACACCAGACCTACCATTATTATTTGGGATTTTTGCCCCAACACTCAGATCTACCAAAAAGGCAACCATAGACAACTTATTTTCTATTGCTGATTATGAATAACATATGATTTCACGTGGCCACAGTAGTGGCCGCACGATTTTGGAATTCTGAAATTTTAATAATTAAATCTGGAGGGATTTCTGCCCAAACCTGCTGGGTTTCAGGATTTGTTCCTGCGTCTCCAGGATCATGGCCATTAAACAGCTTGATCAGGAGCAAGAGAGGCTGTTCATGGGCGGCGACTCGGGGTCTCGTTGTGGCAGGGAGGAAAAGGCCGGCTCCATCCCCATCCCGTGAGGCCCTGTGTGTCTCGCCACTGCAGGCCCAAACCTGACTGTCCAACGGCCTCTGGAGGATGGTGGCCACCAAGCCGCCAGGGGGCAGGCCAAGGCACGAAACCTATTCCAACCTGAGGTGGCCCAGGACCGGTAACCTACTGCAGGGACCAGACGTATTTCTGCCAAAAGCCACGAGATTTGTTTCTGAGTCTCTGAGATCATGGCCGTTAAGCAGCTTGATCAGGAGCCAGAGCGGCCATTCATGGGCGGTGACTCAAGGTCTTGTTGGGGCGGGGAGGAAAGGGCCGGCTCTACTCCCATCCCATGAGGCCCAGCATGTCTCGTCACTGCCGGACCAAACCTGACTGCCCAGTGGCCTCGGGCAGTCAGGATGGCCAAGTGGTCTAAGACGCTGCATTCAGACAGGCCTCTCCTTGGGCCAGGCTGCTGCTGACCCCTGCAGGGTTTCCCCTTTCTCCCAGCTGCCCTCCCCAGCTCCCCTCGACCCCTTTCACCCATGACACGGCTGCATTTGCAGCTTCATCCTCCCTGACTGTTCTCTCCAGGCCAGGCGTTTCTGGCCCCTCACATCATCCCTTTAGTAATTCGCGATCTCCAACCCCAGCCCCAAAGTTTGTCTCCTTTGGAAAGCTGGCAGCCGGGACTGCACAGCAGCGGCCAGATGTGGGCTGCCCCGTGATTCCCTCCCCAGGCTTCCCATTCATGAGAGGAGATTGAGTTCGCTCCTATTAATGAGTTCAGACTGTCTCTTATTACTGGGCTTGTGGTCAACCACATCCCCCAGGTCGGTATCACACGACTCCTCTACATTTGACTTTTCGAACCCCATGACAGGACTTTACATTTATCCCCAATAAATTAAATCTTGTTGCTATTGGCCTAGACCAACTTGTTGAAATCACTTCTTTAAGGGGTGGGGAAAGAGTGGTGAGGGTGCTTTGAAGCTTTCATCCAACATATTAAGTATCCCTGGTAGCTTTATGTCATCTACAGATGTGGTCAGCATGCATGCCCCATGTCCGTCCAAGTCATTAAGGAACATGCTGAACAAGGCCCCTCGAAGGGCCCCGTGTTAGTGAATCAGTAGACATGTCCTTAAGGCATGGGATCACTCAGCCACAAACACAGCAGGCCTCACTGCCATCCAGCCCCATGGCCTTAAGTAAGAACATCCGCCTGAAAGCACACTTCAGATTATCCTGTACAAGAGATTTCTTGCCTTGCTTTCAAGAGTATTGAGGGGACTGTTTGGGACATACCATGATGAGGCAGGACTTGCATTTAACGTGTGGTATGGGTCAGAGGTAGCAACGCTGAGCATGCATGGGTTAAGACAATGTACTCCTGTTCAGGAGTACCTGCCACTCTACAATGGAAGGTTGGTATGCAGAGGCAGTTGATCTGAGGGAGCGTTGCCCCCAGCAGAACATGTGAACAGGTACTTTGGCTTCACACTAACCTAACTCACCTGTCCCCATTTCTGCACGTCTGCTAAACACCCTTTCTAGAATCTTCACACTTGCATTACTCCTGGATTACTCCTTGCATTACACTTGCATTACTAAGGAATTACTCGTGGTGGTGCTCAGGGGACCCTGTGGGATGCTGGGGATTGAACCCAGGTCAGCTGCATGCAGGGTGGACAGCCTCTCTGCTGTACTTTCACCAGCCCCGTGGATGATGCTATGTCCATCGGGACATACTAAACTCATCTGCCCCTCCATCTTACCCCCGCCATCTCACAGAGCAGGGGTGCAGGATTGCCCTCCAGAATGGACAAGGAAGAGTGGGGGGCAGACAGTAGCCAGTCATTCACAGCAGCTGGGAAGCTTGTCTGGGTCACACCATGGGCAGGGCTTGGTCTTTGAGCTGTTCTACTGGTAGAATCATCCCTCTTCTTCCTCCGGTCTCCCCTTCTGCCCCCAGCAGGCTCCTTCTTGGCCGCGCATGGAGCTGACATGGAATTTCAGATAACCGCAGTTTCTTCATTCCAGGTTCCCGTGTCTGTAATACCCACAGGCATCTTACCAGTTGAATTCCCAAGGATTCAGCCTGCCAGCAGCAGTGACCCGGGCCCCTCTGGGTGTTATTTCTAATCCCTCTCACCTTCTTACCTCTGCAAATCTCAGAGCGCTTCTGTGGGACTGTTATGCTCATCGACTTCTTTCTGAGTCATTTCAACAGTAAGCTGTCACCTCCACCAAGCCCTGAGGCCGAATGTTGCCTCAAAGACAGCTTTATTTCTTGCTGTTTGGGGGTTTTTAGCATAGATCCGGTGTTTCGAGGTCCCGAATTTCTGGATTCTTTCCTTTTTATTTGCATACTGGCCAGCACTTCCCTGAGCTCATCTCCTCCTGTGCCAGCCCCAGCCAAAGCAGCCAACACACACTCTGAGTGTTTTGTTTTCAAGCCTTCTCATCTGGGGTGACAAATGTGTGAGGGTTGTGATTTACTTCTCACATCACCTCAGAAAACATTTCTTCTAGATGCCGTGCCATTTCGTGGAGATGCGCATTTGTGCAGTCTTCAACACCAGCACCTGCTGTGGGCCCATGAAGCCAAGGACAGAAATCCAGTTTTTTTATTCCCCCACTTTATTTTAAGACTGTGGTTTATAAAGTTTTTCTTGGTGATTAGTTACAGGCATTCAGTATTCCAGCCCCAACCTCACCACCACTGTCACCTTCCCTCCACCATGGTCTTCATTTTCCCAACCACCCCCAAGCCCACCCCCATAGCCGGCCCATGATAATTAATTTCATATTGCTTGTTACCATTAAATGGACCACAGAATGATCAAAAAATATTCCTGTAGAAGAAAATGGTTGTATCTCACCAGGGAGACATTAAGTCTTTGTCTGGGGGTCTTACTAAGTTGCTGTTACAAGTGAAGACTTTCGTAGTCATGTTTTTGTTAGTTAAGAATGGTTGGCTTTTGCATTACATCAGCTCCAACCCAGTGTGCTACTACTGGGATGTCAGTATTGTAGCATTTAGACATATTGCTCCAGAAAATCCAGAATATTTAACTGGGCAGTCAACTGGGCAGTTAAATATTTAATTGAATCTTCCGAAAGAAGGGGGGTTTGGGGGGTGGTCGCCCACCCCAACTTCAAGAAGGTCTGGAGTTTTTAGACCCATGTACCTGGAGTTTTCGGTGTATTAGGTTTTCTGTGGCACTGAGTCCTGAGGTGGTGGGGTCCTGTCAGAGGCATGGTGGCAGCTTTAGGGTGTAGGAGCAGCTGCTGGGGCATTGTTTGGGTGGGAGCTGGCCTGCCCCCCTCTAAGATCGCTCTTGAGGTCTCAGCTGCAGTGGGTGTCTGAGAAATTTTTTGCAGCTAGTTGATCTCTTTCAGAATATAAGAAATCCAGTTCATGCTGGAACCTGGTTACGGTCCCCAACATCTGTCCTGCTGGCTGTGCCCCTGCTAATCGCAGTGTCCTTGCTCAGGTGCTGTGCCCACCACTGGTCACTCAGGAGCCTCTGCCCGATCACCAGACTGATGGAAGTGCCATCAACAGATTTCCTCTGTTCTGAATAGCAAATCACCCCCAAACCTGAAGGCACAAAACAGCAGGGACATACCAGCTCTCTGCCTTCTGGGGGTTTTGCTGAGGAGACTTCTGTACTCGTTGGTGAACCTGGGTTTGCTCTTGTTTTGGCCCAGTTGGGGGAGATGGGACGTTGAGGTGAGCCAGAAATGTGAGTGTCTCTGCCTCATGCACTGATGGAGGCAGGGCCTCGGCATAATGGTGAGCAGACAGACCCGGCCAGCAGCCTTGTGGTCACTGCTGTCCCTTGAGTGAAGAAGGAACAGCCAGCCTCCCTGCATACAGGTTGAATATGGGATGCTCAAAGTCTTGGACCAACTAGAACAGGAGAAGGTCTAGAATATTCTAGGCTTGGCAGGCCAGTTTCATCTATCATTCCCAGCTTCTCAACTCTGCACTTAGAGCCAATGGGAAAACAAGCGTGCATCTCCCTGTGCCGGCAACTGTCTGGTACAGTTCTGACTCATATTATCAGGCGTGGGGCCCAGAGCTGGCCCACCACACACCTGGATCATTCAGCATCTGCATCGGTCGAAGGCCGCCTCTTCCCTGCTGTGATTCCAAAGGAACATGTCCAATCTGCTGTAAGCTCAGCGACCAAAAGTTGTCACGCGGCCCCACTTAACGGCAGTGTGGGGTGTCAGGAGTAGGATACTGCTGTGTGCTGGGTAAGGGACACAGGCTCAACTGGCAGGTTCCAGAAAGTTCCACCATAGGAGCTACATGGAGAAGGTGCCCCTCCTGATGGTGACTGAGTACTAGGCACTGGTTGTAAGTACTCAGCAAATGAGAGCGGTGGGTGTCCGGCCACTAAGCCACACAGCTCCTGGCTTGGTCCCGCACCATCCCACCTCCTCAGTTATAGTACGTGGTTTTCTTCTGTGAGCCCTAAAGGTATGGTCTTATCACTTCAGAAGTCGGACTGATGCTCTGTAGAAGTACCCACCTCAGCCTAATTATCAGAGATTGAACCCTCAACTCCTGGGTTCGGTGGCCAACTTCTGGGATAGCTCAGCCCTGGGAGTTGTTTCTTCTCCGTCTATGAAGGAAGGGAGGAGTGAGACGGGGCTGGGAGGCTGCCCGGGTGGGGTAGGAGGCACACCAGATGACCCATGGGCTGCCCGGGCCAAAGAGGAGGAGGAGAAGAAGATACGTAGATTTTTGGAGAAAGGACCATTGCCCAAGAAAAAAGCCCACGTGGAAATTCCTTCCAAGTTGGAATCTGACACTCCTTATGACCCCTTACATGATCCTGCTGGGACTTCTTTATTTGGGCCAAGCTGGCACCTAGCTTGGCTCCTTCCCCTAGAAGGCTCTGTCTGTCTGACTTCCGGTCCTTGTGATCCCAGACCCTGGGCTGAACTGGCAGCGCAGATCAATCAGCAGCAGCCAAATACCTGGAGCGTCTTACCGCACCCGTGGGTGCTGCTGGCCGTGAGCGAGGCGTCCTTACAGATGTATTTCCAACGGCTCTTTCTCTGGAGCTGGAGATAGTCCAGTGGCTAAGGCACATTGCCACGCACGCAGCCAGCCTGAGCCCCACGAGAATTGACCACTTTGCACAGCCCGGTGAGATCCAGAACTCTGTCCTGCTCCCCGGGGACCCATCCCAGGGCATCAGTTGCTTAGCCGAAGGGCCTCTTGTGCCAAACTGCCACAGGGTGCCAAAGAGAGAACATTCCCGTGAGCTCGTATCTACCTTCTTATGGCAGAAAACTCAGTGCTGTTGCCAAGCAAAAGATGACTTGGAACAGGAGTTCCGAGCAATGGGGGATTTGTCTGTGGGGTGGGAGCTATGCAGCGTGTTTAGGCCCTTGGTCTCCAAGGACATCTCAAGTGCTCAAGTCAGCCCTTGGAGCGTTTTATGCATCACGTTCCAGGTTCCCAGTTCTTGGTTCCTTTCTGCTCTCTGCAGAGACTCGTCCACATGTGAAGCCTCCCTGTGGCGGGGCTGCAGCCCACTGAGACTTAGTTGCCAGTTCCCAGAAAGCTGAGCAGAAAGACACCCCTGCCCACCCCCACCCCCAACCCCTGTCACCGTTTCCCACGAACCTTACAGCTGGATATTGAAAAATCTGGAATTGATCTTTCTCCCTCCCCACCGCCCCCCCCCCCACCTCTTTTCTCATTTCAAGTCAGCTGGATGGCCCGTATGCTTATTTGGTTATGAGGAAACCTAGCCAGGACGTCTGTGGGATTGAAAGAGAGGGCCGGCGTGCAAAGCCAGCATTTCGGTGCTGTTTCTTTCTTGGCATTCAGACTTGGTGGTTTTTGTTTTGTTTTGCAGGTGGTGTTCCTGACAGGGTTTGGCTATGTATATGTGGACATTGGCCATCAGAGTGGCACCATCCTCATCACGGTGGCCCCAGAAGGGAAGGCAGGACCCGCTGACACCAGTCCCTACAGGTAGGCATGGTCACCCCTCCAGGCCCAGAGATGACGGGTAAAGATGTTGACCACAGCCCTCATCCCAGTGCCAGTCAGGGTCCCTAGGCACTGCCAGGAGTGAGCCCCAGGTGGCTAGGTGTGGCCCCCAATGAAAGACAACCCTTTCTGTTGTTTTTCTTTTTTTGGCTTGTGCCCACATCCAGTAGTGCTCAGGGCTGACTCTTGGCTTTGCTCTCAGGCATTATTCCTGGTGGTACCGGGGATCAAATCTGGGTCAGCTGCATGCAGGGCCTTACCTGTTGTACTATTGCTTTAGCCACTGGACAGACAAAGCCTTTTTAAAAAACATATCGCCAAAGTAGCAGAATGAACTTTGGCTTTCTAGAAAGTGGCATACTTACAGTCCACCATTCGTGATCTCCTCCTCCGTAAGTGTTGAGGCTTCTGCTAAATTCTTAATGTGACTAATGCACCTGGTTCTAAGCATTCAGTGGCACGTGTTGGTCAATTGCCTTGCATGGGACTGCATTAGTGGCACCCCTGGTTTGAATCCCCAGCACTACACTGGTCTCCTGAGCACCTTCGAGGTTCACTCCTGAGCACTGAGCAGGACAGAGCCCTGCGTTGCCACCAGATAGGGCCCCAAAACCCGAAATAAGAGGCGTGAGCAGGCTTGAGCCGGGGTGGGCTGGCCCGTGCCTGCTGGAGCAAAGCTGCAGGGGGAGACCCTGGGTAGGGGATGGGGTGGCAGGCGGCAGGAAGAGAAGGGTGCGTGGCCGCTGCGGGCCGCCGGGGCAGGAGCTGGGCCCAGACTGGGGACGGTCCGGCGCGCCCGCGGGCCTCCCGGGGCCAGAGCCGCTCAGCCCAAATGGGCGCGGGGAGGGCCAGGCGGAGACGCCGGGGAACCAGCGGCGCTGGAGGCGCGGGGTCACGCTCGGTGTCACGCCGTCCGCCCCAGAAGGTTCCGGAAGGCCCAGGAACAGCGGCTGAGCCGGCCTTCCCTTTCTCCCCCAGGCCCCCGGGAGGGCTGGTGACCTGGAGCGTGTCTGTCGCCCAGCTGAGCGTGACGGTGCTGGACGACCTCACGCACCCCAAAGCCGCCTCCGAGCTCCTGCGGCTCACCCTGGACAGCGCCTTCCTCCAGGCGGGCCCCGTGGCCGGCGGCCTCCCCGGGGACGAGGGCCCCGCGGCGCCCCCGGGGCTGTACCAGCTGGAGGCCGGCTGCGGCGACCTCCAGCTCGACAACCAGCTGTACAGCAAGTCCAACTTCCACTTCGCCGTGCTGGTGTGCCAGGGCGAGAAGGGCGAGCCGGGCGCGCCGGCGGGGCCCGGCCCCCGCGCCCCGCGCGCGCCCGAGGGGCTCCGGGACGGCTGCTTCGTCCGGCTCGGCCTCACGCTGGCCCCGGGCGGGCTCTCGGCCTTCGACGTGCACGAGTTCCGCTTCGCGCTGCGGCCCGGCCGGCTCTACGTGGAGGACACGTTCGTCCACTACGCGCGGACGCTGTTCGCCTCGTACCTGCCCGCCGCGCGCGCGCCCGGCCCCGCGGCCCCCGACGCGCTGCCCCCGCAGGTGCGCCAGCACGCCCGCGCCCTGGTGCGCCCGGTGCGGCTGCGCCGGCTGCTCATCCAGCCCGTGAGCCTCCTGGTCAGCGTCCACGCCTCCCTCAAGCTCTACATCGCCTCCGACCACACCCCACTCTCCTTCTCCGTGTTCGAGCGCGGCCCGGTCTTCACCACGGCCCGGCAGCTGGTCCACGCGCTGGCCATGCACTACGCGGCCGGCGCGCTCTTCCGAGCAGGTGAGAGGCGCAGCGGGCGGGTCGGTGGGCACGCAGGCGGGAGGCACCCCCGTGGCGCTCTGTCCCCCCACCCACACACTCCACCCCTTGACCCGCTCCCTGGCCACTGGGCAGGGCCGGCGCAAGTCAGGGAGCGTCCGTGGAGCGCCGGCCGCAGCGTGGCAGAGGCGCATCGGCGCCCCTCCCCAGGCCCAAGGCTCCGTGTCGGCGCGCTGGGGCAGCCGAGAGACCCCCCCGGCCCCCAGTCCTGGGTCCCAGCGCTCGGCTCTCTTCGCTGCAGCCCGGACCAACTGTGAGGGAGGCAGGAGGGAGTCGGGGGCTCCGCAGAGATAGAGACCCTCCTCCTGCCCATCCATGCCACGGAGGGCGGCATCCGGGCCCGCCACACCTCCCGGCCGCTCCCATCTGGGAGAGTTCTGAGCCCGCCCGGTGTGTTGATAAGCTGCCTTTCCCTCCGTCCCAGGGAAGCCGGTGGGAGCTGGTCCCGGGGTCTCGCTCTGCTGAAGGGCTGGGAACGCTTAGGCGGGAAGGTGGCATTGCACGCACGAAGCCCTGGGTTTACTCCCCACTGCTACCCCTCCCCGCCCCACCTGGAGGCTCCCGCAGGGAGGGTCAGAGCCCTGCGGGTCTTCTCGCTCACAAGCTCTGGACCACACGACCAGAATGTGGCTGGAAGTTCCCCCATTCCCCGAGTATTCCCTAGGAAGTCGCCCTTGGGGGGGAAAAAAAAGAACATGAAATTCCTGCTTCTGCCGGTCACAAGGCGGGAGCCTCGGTGCTGGGAAATGTGCGTCCATGTAAGGTCAGCACCGCGGAGGCAGTGACCCGTGGTGTCTCTCTGCTGGTGAGATCCGGTTTGCTCCATGCGAGGTTGGTGAGTGCTGCAGACCCAACTCCTAACTGAACATGACAAGAGCCAGGCCCGGCCCACAGGGCCGTGTTTTGATAGCTCACACAGCAGCGAGGGAAATATTTCCCTCTCGCGAAGAAACGATTTAAAAATAAGCAGTTAACGTTTCACATTTAATAGCCGGGTCTATTTATAAACAGCTGCAGAGACTTACCCTTCCGGGCAGCCAGCACCCTGTCCACGGCTGGCCGAGGTGGGCAGAGCCCGTCCTCGAGCTCCGTGGAGCTCTCTGTGTCACTCCCCCACCCTGGTTCGTGTTTTTAATGAGCTTTCCCAAGAACATTCTGTTTGGATTTTCTATAATCCGCCTAAAAATCCTCTAAGCTGTTGCCCCAACCTCATTATACGCCAAGACAAGAAATTCTAACACGAGCGCCAAGTTCCCGGTGCCTATTGGGAATTTGGTCCCTGACAGCCCGTGGACAGTCTGAGGACTATCTGGAGGGGCAGGGACATGGCAAGTGAACCTGGAAACAGGAAAGTGGTGGCACAGTTACCGCCCCCCCCCCCCCCGCCCACTCCCGGCCCCTGGGAAAGTCTCGGTGTAGCAGCAGGGCATTCCTGCACCCGGCCCCGAGAGGGCGTGCGAGAGGGAGATGCCCCACACAGGGCGGGGCAGTATAAGGTTCTTGATGCCAGCTGTCAGGTGCCATGAGCTCTGTACAAACACCCAGAGGCACTTCTCAGAAGAATCAGTGAAGAGGGGAGGAGGCTGAAGGGTTGGAGTGGGGGCCCCTGTTCCAACAAAAGTACCCTACCATCCCCAAGCACTGAACAAGATGTGCCTTCCCCTAAAAAGAGGGGAATAGTGAGAGAGGGAGAGCGGGGTGGCCCACTGCAAAGGGAAGGATGTGACCCTACAGGGCCAGAGAGAGAGTTCCGGGGGGAGGCGCTTGCCTTGTACATGGTAGACCTGGGTTTGATACCCGGCACCCCATATGGTACTCTAACCCCGTTAGGAGTGATCCCTAAGCAGAGTCAGGAGTCAGCCCTGAGCACTGCCAGGTGTGGCACAAAAACAAAGCAAAACAAAAAAAGAATGGGTTTTAGCACTTCCTGGGGTCCCTCTCCACCCCTGAGCTCCAGCCTGGCAGGCAGACAAACACCAGAAGGGAGATTCATATTTAGAGGGAAACTGCCCCGGTGCTAACAGTCCTTCAGGGAACCCCCTGTGCCTTGACCCTTACTGCCCATCTCAGATGCCCCAAGAGGGCCTCTGGCCACGGCAGCCGGAAGCCCCGGGCCGCTTTGCTGGGTCACACAGTGTCTCAGGACAGAGTGGCCTTGCACAGCAGGACTCTCCCCGCTGTGTCCCCTTGGTGAGGAGGGCGGTGGAGATGCTTTGAGATGCTTTGGGCCTCCTGAGGCTGAAGGGAACGTGCTGGGTCTTCACCTCAGAGTCTCACTGCCCTCCGTGCCCCTGCCACCCCATGGCAGCCCTCAGGCTTTGACCAGGCCAAGGCAGGGTGCAGAACCTACCCCCACCTGGCGAGTGATGGACTCAGCTGTGAACCAGAGTCCTGGCTTCCTGGGCTGGGAGGATGGGTGGCCAGGGGGACGGGTGGGAGCAGGGCAGGGGTCTGAAGGTCATCAGAGAGCCCGAGTGCCTGGGCCTACAGACCCTCCTGTTTCATATCTTCCTCTTCTGTGGCGCCTTCTCTCTTTTGATACCCCAGTGGGTCATCTTGATGTCCCAGAGGAGATGCTGCTTTCTCCAGGAAGGGACCCAGAGCGTCACTGGAATTCTCCCTTCGGAGGGCTCTGAGCCCTGAACAGGGGGAGCCCCAGATGAAGCCCCCCAACCTCCATCCCCTCGAGGGAGGAAGGACAAGGAAGCTTCTGCCGGATGGACACCACAGGCCCAAAACACAGCCCCTAAGGAAGGGGACTGTGGCCAGCTCTGCTCCATGGGAACCCCACTGGGGCCGGTGCCCCATGCCCAGAGCACATAGAATGGGGGTGGGAGTACACACACATACACACACACACACACACACACACACACACGCACAGCAGGTATCCTAGAGGTTCCGTGAAAGGCCACACCAGCAGTGCATGACCCCTCCCTGAGTCCCCCCACCCGGAACCCATTACCGCATGCTCACTCCTTGCTCGGCCCGCAGGCTGGGTGGTGGGCTCGCTGGAGATCCTGGGCAGCCCCGTGAGCCTGGTGCGGAGCATCGGGAATGGCGTAGCCGACTTCTTCCGCCTGCCCTACGAGGGCCTGACACGGGGCCCCGGCGCCTTCGTCAGCGGCGTGTCCAGGGGCACCTCGTCCTTCGTCAAGCACATCTCCAAAGGTAAGGCCGAGCCCCGCGGGCGCGGGGGTGTCCCTGGATGGAAGGTGGCCTTTTAGTCTGGGGAACAGGCCCAACGGGCTGGACACACGTGTGTGAGTGCAGCGCCACCTGGTGGCCACACGCGCGCCCGGCTCCTCGGGGCCGCAGGCGGCGCCCATGAAAGACGCTTCGCTGATGCTGAGCTTACAGGTTCGCAAAGCCCCCGCAGGTCCCAAACACACTTGAGTTTAAGCTGGCACCTGTGCGGGGGGACCAGCGAGCAAACGGGCAACCAGAAACTAGTTCACAGAAACCAGGTCTGTCTCTCGGGGCCGCATCGGGATCTGCGTGATTCTGGGGTTTGTACTCCAGCCAAGTCCCACACACACGTGTGCTGGCACCAACGGGGGCGGGGGGGGTGCTCTGATCCCCTGGGGACCCTCCCTGAATCCTCTGCCATCCACCTGGTTGTGTTTGTGTGTGTGTGTGTGTTGTGTTTGCATACATGTGTGTGGCAGCTCCAGGGGGTACGTGTGTGTGTGTGTGTGTGTGTGTGTGTGTGTGTGGTATTTTTGCGAGCATGTGTGAGACAGCTCTCCCTGGGGGGAGTGCATGTTTGTATATGTATGAGCATGTGTGCGTGTGTGTGTACATGCATGTGTGTGGGCATGTGTATGTGTGCATGTTGTGCACATGTGTGTGCATTCATGTGTGCATGTGTGTGGCAGTCCCTCTTGGGCGGGTGCCTGTGTGTGTATCTGTGAGTATGCATGCGTGTGTGTGTGCGTGTGTGCGTCCATGTATGTGTGTAGCAGCCTCTCCCCAGGGTGGCATGTGTTCTGGTAGGTGATTCTGGGCTGCTGAGTTTCTGTGGGCTTGCTGGGGAGGATGAGACAGTGGGGGGCTGAGTCTCCCCGCTTCTCCCCTTTACAGGACCCGACTTTTCCCAGCAAATATCCCCGGGTGGGGAATCTCACAGTTCCCAAGCTGCAGTTGGCATTCTGGGGGGCAGTGAGCCCTCACTGAAGGCAGAAGGGGGTGCGCTTTAGTCCTCAGGTGAGAGCAGGAGCTGCCAGTCTCCGATTCTGCAGGTCCCCTGGCTCTCGCGGGAAGCTGAGTCCCCTGAGCACCACCATGTGTGGTCCGAGAAACGGACAGGAGAAGTCAGAAGGCGGGGCCAGTCACGGGCACGGGGCGGCTGGCTCTCCTGTGCCCTGCCCGCAGCAGCTCTCCCCGCTCTCGTGCCCACAGGTACCCTCACTTCCATCACCAACCTGGCCACCAGCCTGGCCCGCAACATGGACCGGCTGTCCCTGGACGAGGAGCACTACAGCCGGCAGGAGGAGTGGCGGCGGCAGCTCCCTGAGAGCCTGGGCGAGGGGCTCCGCCAGGGCCTGTCACGCCTGGGCATCAGCCTGCTGGGTAAGGTCTGCGGGTGCAGCATCACGGGCCTCCCAAGGAGACGGAGCCTGGCTGGGCCCTCTCCCCAGCAGGCTGCATCCCGGCCCTGCGCCACCACCCCTCGGGCGGGAGACCCCATCTCTCTTGGCCTTCTCTGCAAGAAGAGGCATTGTTGGGGGCCTCGCCTCGACGCCCCTACCACCCCCCACCCCGAGGCCTTGGACTTCATTTTATTCTGGCAAAGAGACACAGGCCCAGCCCCGACTCCGGGGCGTTCTGTTCGAGCATCCAGATGTTCAGGGAGATGCGGAGTGCGCTGGGGGTATTTCCAAATATCCCAAGTGTTTGAAAGCGCGGTTGCTTTGCGAACGTTCGCTAAGAGGAAGCCTCAGAGCTGAGACTTTGCAGAGCAGGGTTTTCAAGGGTGTCTCTGTTCATTTGTTTGCGAAGGAATTTAAGACTGTGTTGCTTGGCAGCACGCCCCGTCGAGCATCTGAAGGCTTGTGCGCCCCCTGAGATCAAAGGGCCCCGCAGCAGGAGGACCCAGGGCAGTGGGGTGCCTGGCAGGCCGAGTGGGGGTGGCTTGGCCCTGACTGGGCCTCCGAGGGGGAGCAGACAGCTGTGTGGTGCGGGTAGCGGTTCTGGAAATGACTTCTGGTCACCTGAGAGCCTGTACGGACTGAGAGCCCGGGGGCAGTGGGGCACAGGAGCAGCCTCGGGCTGGGGAGACAGCTCTAGGGAGGGCCTGTCCAGGACATGCCAAGGCCATGCCCCTTGGCACAGGAGCTCCCTTCTGCCGTCAGATGGTGATGCCGTCACCACCCCAGCAGCCCCTCTGCCACAGGTCTCTCCCCTCAAGTGTCCCAGTCCAGGGTCAGGACTTGGGGTGTTTGTCCTTGGGGGTTCACAGCTCAGCAACCAGGCTTTTTCTGTAGAAGGTTTGGGGCACATCAGTCAGTGCTGGGACACAGGCCAGATACCAGTTCACCATTGACCTGTCACTGTGTGAGCAGAGAGCGGCCCGGGAGCCAGATTACCAGTCCCTCCTGCTGGCCAGAGGCATGTCCATGTGCGGTGGGATTGTCAGTGGAGTGTGGCTTGAAGTTAGTGGGTCATTTGCTGACACAGTTAACCGACAGCCCAGTCTCCTGGGCACTACCAACCCCAGCAGGCCAGAGCTGGAGGCAGACTCCAGAATCGCAGTCAAGTAATCCCCTCTGTTGGGCCAGGTACCTCCAGGGGCAGTGGCTCCTGGAAGAGCAGCAGGGAGGACAGAGCCATGGCAGCCACACGGCACCCTGAGTCCTCTCCCTAGCAGCTGGTGTGCCAAGAAGCTTGTGGCCAGGCGCTGGCCAGGGGAAGGGCCTTTTCCAGAAACAGTACATGAATGGCGGGAGGACGGGGGTAGGCAGGGGCCAGACTCAAAGCACAGCTGCGCCCCCTGAGAAACCTGCCTTCCCTCCCTGGGCCCAGTGACTTAATTCAGGCACTGGGGCAGAAGTCACGGCTGATAGCATGCCAGCGAGCCCTCTGCTCCCAGGTATGACAGATGAGCTGGGGAGGAGGGGACATGACTGAGCAGTGTGCCGGCGCATGTGGGCTTGCTGAGCACAGCCGGACGGCGAGGCTTAGGAGAACACGTGTGATGTGGCGACCCAGCCCCACATGCTTGGGTCTGAGTCTCAGTCCTCATCGTAGCCTCTGTGCCCTTCCAGGGGCCATCGCAGGCATCGTCGACCAGCCGATGCAGAACTTCCAGAGGACGTCAGAGGCGCAGGCCTCAGCGGGACACAAGGCCAAGGGCGTCATCTCCGGCGTCGGCAAGGGGATCATGGGGGTGCTGACCAAGCCCATCGGGGGCGCTGCTGAGCTCGTGTCGCAAACTGGCTATGGTGAGTGGGGGCAGCCCGCGCACACACCACCCTTCCCTGGGTACCTTTATTCCAGGGGGCCCTGAGGTAAAGCAGCCCTTCACGTGCAATGGCATGACAGGTACAGTGACGACGTCTGTGAAGCGCTTTCTTACCTCTGTAGGCGCGTGTAACCAGCATAGAGGGGTGTCTAATCACCAGTTACCAGCACCCAGGGACGGAGCCAGGAAATTGACCCAGGATCACCGTATTTGCAGGATCTTCTTAAGTGCATCTCCTAGAATAAACCTTAGTGGAGTTTCCAGCTGAGAGTAGCACATAGGCTGATAGCAGAGACGGGAATGAGTGCCTTTTCTGGCAAACAATTCGAAAAGACTAAGTTCGTGTGTTCATTTGTGTATGTGCCCTGTGTGTGCCCAAGTGCCTCTGTGAACATGCCGTGTGTGCCCATGTATGCACACCCTCTGTACCCTTGCGCATTTGTATACATGCCTCGCGTGCCTATGTGCATCTGTGTACACGCCCTGTCTGGACACCTGTGTGCATCCCTTGTCTGTGCCCATGTCCTGTGTCAGATGGACATGTCCGGTGTGCATCTGAGTATACACCCTGTGTGCATGTCTGTGTGCACACCCTGTGTGCACCCAGGTATACACATCCTCTATACCCTTGTGCATCCTTTTGTGTGCCCCATGTCTGGGTGCACACCCCCTGTGTGCCATGTGCATCAGATGTACATGCCCCACGTGTTCCTATATGCATGTGTGTACATACCCACGTGTTCTTGTGCATCTTTGTACATGCCGTGTATGTGATTATCTGTCTGTATGCCCATGTGTGCCCTTCTGCACATATGTACGTGCCCCCTGTGTGGCCTCTGTACATCTGTGTACATGCCATGTGACCTGTGTGCATTTATGTGTGTGTTGTGTGTGCTTCTGTGCTTATCTGTACATACTCTGTGTGTTCCTCTGTTCACCAGTGTGCATATGTGCTTATATGTGCATACACACCCTGCATGTGACCATGCACATCCAGGCACAAGCCTCATGTGTGTATGCAAGTGCCAGTGTGAATGTCCGTGCACACCCTTGTGCCTCCTTGTGCATAACCACAGGTGTGTGTGTGTGCTTGTGCATATCTGTGTGCGTGTCATATATGCATGTGTATGCACCCGAGTATATTCTCCATGTGCCCTTGTGCATCTGCTGCTTGTGCACATCCTCCCCTTAGCCCACCTTGCCTTGCTGCCATGAGCTTCCCCACCACACTCGTCCTCCAGCATGCCGGCCCCAAGCCGTCTCCTGGCCACGGGCAGCAAAGTGCTGTGATGGTGGTCACACCTGAGCCCAACGCGTCCCCAGGGAGGCCTGGCGCCCCTCCCTCCTGCCGCAGTCCCGGGTGACCGTGTCACCATCTGGCTCACAGCACAGGCTGCTGATCCAGGGCCCTGTGTCGGATCCTGCAGCCCTTGGGTGCATTTCATGGCAGGGCAGCTGGGCCAAGCCCCAGCATCTGCAAGGGGGCCCGTGGCCGTGGTCGTCCACCCTGCTGGCTTAAGGAGACCGCACAGGCGCCAACACAGGTTCCTCTGGCTTTGCCTCTATTTCTGTCCCCTCCTCCATGAGACACTCCCGCCCCTTCCAGGGGGACGGGTGAGGAGAACTATGGCAGCTCATAAGTGGACGAGTCAGCACCCCGTCCCTCGCTGATGTGCCTGTACCCCAAGGGGCCTTGACTCTAGACCCCCGGCGAGGTGGGTTGGCGGGGTCTTCCCCCACCCAGGCTGCCGGCCCCCAGGGCCTCCCAAGCTGAGAGCAGCACCCGCGGCCTTGTTTCCATCACTCTTGTAAAACTTTTATGACCGCACTGAAGGTTTTACAAACCACTGAGTCTTCATCTAACGACTGTGCCCGTTTGTAAACATTTACAAGCCCTTGGAAGGCGCACACGCTCTTCCTCCTCGGCCCTGGAGTCTCTGGAGGCCCGTGTGCCTGGCTGCCACAAGGTGTCCCCACTTGGTGAGGGACCCCGGGAGAGTCGGCAGGAAGCCAGAGCCCCCAACACACTCATAAACATACGTGCTCACGTTGGACCATGGGCTGAGGTCGCTTGAACACTGGCCGAGGCAAAGCACAGGCCCGCTGACCTGCCACGACACCAGAAGTGAATACGCAGCAAGGAACTCAGCTGATGGGCTTGACCTCTGTTCTAAGCAGGGAGGTGCCCCCAGCTCTGGGCCCTTCTGATGGGGAGGGAGGGAGGAGGGAATAGGAGGGAGGGAAAGAGTGAGGGAGAGAGAAAGGAAGGGAGGGAGAGAGGGAGGGAGGAGGAAGGAAGGAAGAAGGGAGGGAGGGAAGAGGAGAGTTGTGAGTGAGGGTAGAGGGAGGGAGGGCTGACGTGGCCACCCAGTGCCACTGTGTGGAGTGTTCCAGAAACGCCCGCCGCCCCTTTCCCCAGGTATCCTACATGGAGCTGGGCTCTCTCAGCTCCCCAGACAGCGCCATGAGCCCCGCGACCTCCACGCCGACCAGGCTCCCAACAGCCACGTCAAATACGTCTGGTAAGACCACAACCTTGCGCACAGGCACCCCGCATGGAGCCAGGGACCTCTCGGGCCAGGAAGCTACTGGCCAGCAGAGCCCCTGCAGCCGGGGACAGGGAGAGGCCCGAGTCTCCGGGCGCCGGTGCTGTGGGTCAGAGTTCTTTGTCCCCAGAGCGGGCTTCCTGCTTCCCAGAGCCAGTCTGAGCGTTAAAATGACAGCCCCCGGCCATGGACCAGGAAACCTGGGTACAGGCTTTGCATGCAGGAGCCCGGGCTTGATCCCCAACATTGCATGGTTCCCTGAGCACTGATCCAGGAGTAACCCCCCAAGCGGCTGGGTGTAAGGTAAAGCATACTGCCTGGTGCCATTCGTGGCGGCCTGGGCTGACTGTGGCTCTTGGGAACAGGAAGATGCTCCAGTCTCTGGGCAGGCCGGAGGTGCACATGGCCCTGGACGTGGTGCTGGTGCGGGGCTCAGGCCAGGAGCACGAGGGCTGCTTGCTGCTGACCTCCGAGGTGCTGTTCGTGGTGAGCGTGAGTGAGGACGCCCAGCAGCAGGCCTTCCCCGTCACCGAGATTGACTGTGCCCGCCACAGCCAGCAGAGCGACCTGCTCGTCGTGTGCCTGCAGCAGCCCCGGGTGGCCTGCGATGCTGAGGTGAGAGCGGGCAGGGGGGTGGCACCTCCGGGCAGGGGCCAGGGAAGGCCGCTCCCCGGGGCAGGCACTCCTGGGGGCTGGGGCCCACATGGGCGGGAGGTGGTCTGTCCAGCAGGCAGGGTGGTCATCGGCGGTGTGTAGGACAGAAGAGGCCACTACAGGCTGGGGAGGCGGTGGGAGCAACATTTAGCACAGCCACCGCAAGGCCCCACACTTGCCCCCGACCCTCCCAGCCGGCCACATCCAGGTTCCAGTCTTGTGACTCGGGCCGGGAGGTGGGAACTGCAGACCCCAGCCCAGGAGGGGCCACAGTTCCAGAGCCCAGCGTGGCTGTGTGGAATGTGAGGACCACCATGGCGCTTTTGTGCAAGGGGAGACCCCGAGCCATGGCCAGGCAGGACTCTCCATGGACGCACCTGTGTCCGGGGCTGCTTCACACCCCTGAGGGCCAGCGGTCAGCTCTTGTCTGAGCCCACCACCCCCTCCCGCCGCACATGTGGACCACTGCTCAGTACCCCTGGCCTCAGGCAGAACCTGCGCCTCTCCTCCCGGGCGGGGGCTGGCTGGGGTAGAATCCCGAGCCTGGGGCAGGCGGCCAACCCCAACAGCACTGAGATTTCTCTGCTTTCCTGGCTCGGAATCAGTCAGGCTCGAAGCCGGGCTTGGCACGCAGACTCTGCCGCTTCAAGTTGATGGCCTGAATAAACAGAGGTCAGTGTCCAGGCGGACTCTGGTGGATCTGCCAAAATCTGAAGATCCAGTGGACAAGAAAGCAGCGGCAAGGCAGGGGCAGGGTTTGGCCGGCGGAGAGCCATTGTCTCTGAAGACCGTGGTCCTTGGGAGGAACTTGCAGGGCCCCGAGGAGCCTCTTGGCCATCGTTTGCCCTTAGCTGCTTGGAGAATGTTTCAGCTCTTAACACGGGACGGGACATTTGTCTCCCTGAGCTGCATCTCCTGTCTAAAGGTGTGATTCTCTTCTCTTTGTTTGAGGGGGACAGAGGGTCATTAGGAGATGGAGAAGGGAACCAGTTTTTCTGGACGGTTCTGAGAGCTGGGAGCCCCGCTCTCCCGGTCCAGGCTACTTGGGATGGAACCGTAGAGGCGAAGGTGCCACGGTCCAGACTGAGGTCAGCACCTAAGGACCAGAAACAGGACCGGATGGAGGCAGCCTCAGGGGCCCTGCAGGGCAGGGCTGGGGCAGAGGGGTAGGTGAGTCAGTGTGCCTCCAGCCCTGCTCTCTTTCAGCTCCCCACTGACCTCTCCTCACAGCCCTGCTAGGAGCCAGCCATGCCCCCTGTCAGTCTTGTGTCCAGACGCTCACTTGCTTCCTCTTCTAGGCAGACCCACCGCAACATGAAATGCCCATCCCTTCCCTGAGAGGCAGCCCGGCACAGTACTCCAGCGCCAGGCCAGGTCCCCTCTGCTTCGGGCTCAGGTGTCACTCGGCACCCTGGCCAGCCCAGAGCCGGGCCACACTGCGAATCCCATCTCCGTGCAGATTTCTTTTCAGGCTTTTGGCCTTCGGTGCTAGTAAACGTGGCCCCTTTGAATTTGGAAGGAACTAATTCACAGCTGACATCATTTACCATATGCCGAGCTGGTGGGCCGCGCGCTTTCTCTCAATCAGGGCTTGCTTTTCTTGGTCAGACGCGGCCGTCCTCGGGCCGCAGTTATTTCGTGTGCCCGGAGAGGCTCGCCGTGAGTCAGGGGGTCAGTCTCACCCTTGGCCAGGTGCCTCTCACAACATGGGTTTCCTGTGCTGCTGGTCGGGAGCAATTACGACTCGCTGTGGATCCAACGCTCTCCAGCTGCAGTCTGCCCCCAGCACATGATATCATCAACGCCTGGCCCGCGCGGGTGGTGCACAGCTTTCATCCGTCAGTAAATCTTTCCTGCCCTTGAAAGCAGACCTCAACTCCTGCATGGCCCCTTCCCTTCCCACACCGGGGGCTGCACTGTTTCTGGGCTCGCAGAACCACGTAGATTCCTTCCGGGACTGCTCAAGGAGTAGGAAGCCCCCACTGAAGTCTTCCTGTGTCCCCCGAGGTTCTCAGAGAGGTCGGTGGGTGAGGACGTGTTGTGGCCAGGGGCTCCCCAAGAGTCACGCGCTCCACTTGAGCCTCACACCCAATAGCGGACTCCGGGTGGGAATCGTTTATAGCTTTGAGGGGGCTTTCTGGGAGTCACTGCAGATCCAGGCCAGTGCACCCCGGTTCTCCTGGAGTTGCACTGAAGAGCAGCCAGACTTTTATGGACCATAAATGTACTTTGCATCCTCCTCTTTTCCATAAAAATTTCCTCTCCCTCTGCCCAGCTTTGTTTTCTCTGGCTTTAAATTGCAGATTTCTTTTTTAGTTACAGATCAAAGGTATTTTTTAATGATCTGTCCAAAGCCACTAGTTTGGAAGGTGCCTGCTCCTCACCACTCCTCATCCGAGGCGGCTGAGACAGCACTAGTTTATTTCAGGGTGCTCAGTGTCAGAGTGCCAGAGGGCTTCTTCAGAGACCGCTCCTGGGCTGGTGGGGAAAGAGCCCTGACAGATGTTTCAAGAGTCGATGAGTTCTAACAGCAACTTCCATCGCAGGAAAAACTTTTATACACCAAGTGCGTCTGTAAAGCGCCATTTCTTGGGGCCAGAGACAGTACAGGGTTAAGGCGCTGGCCTTGCACACTGCTGACCCCGCTGCTCCCCGAGTCACCAGGCATGATCTCTGAGGCACAGAGCTGAGGAAGCCTTGAACAATGGTGGGTGTGGCCTAAACTCCCCCCAAAGTGTTTCTCAATCAGGGAGCCAAATTACACCTGTCCCCAAAATATCCTAAGGTGAAGATTACGTAAATGGAGAGTGGGGGCACAGCACAAAAACAGGAGGCCACAAGGAAATGAAAGTTTGAGAAACGCCCATTTAAAGGACGGTGCCCAGTTATCAAGGCGCAATTTTTGCTGGTGCTGCAGTATCACTGGAATATACTCAGGGTACTCAGCAGCCTAGAGGATTTAAGTACTTAGGTACTTTAAATGGCTTTAATAGATAGTCAAGGAAGCAGAGCAGGAACCCTCCAGATCCCATGGAGGCTTTGGCAACCGCTCCTGTGTTTGGGTGCAGGTGGACGGTGCCCGAGAGCGGCTCACGGAGCAGCAGTACAACAGACTCGTGGACTACATCACCAAGACATCCTGCCACCTGGCCCCCAGCTGCTCCTCCATGCCCACCCCGTGCCCTGTGGTGGCAGTGGAGCCACTCCCCTCCACCGTGAAGACCTACCATTACTTGGTCGATGCACATTTTGCTGAAGTCTTCATCAGTAAGTTCACCATGGTGAAGAATAAAGCCCTGAGGAAGGGGTTCCCTTGAGACTTGGGGTGACATGTCAATTCCAGCGTGTGCAGGAAAGAAACGAACTGGTTCTATCACCTTAACGAGGATGCAAGGCCAACCCTTTCCTATAGAGATTGGCGAGCCTCTAAAATTCAGGTCTTTTCTTTCCTAAAACTACTTTGAATGGTGGCTACTTTACAGCACATGTAGAAAATGTATTCCTTGTTGTACAGTGACATTTGCTAACAGTTCAACCATAAATCTGTAAACTCTGCCCTAAAGCAAAATACATTAAGCTCTAGCACGGAGACAGAGTTGAAACTGCATTCCCAATTGCATCTGTTTTTAGGAAAAGGTCTGGAGTCTTTGAATGAATTAAACGCCACAGGCTGGCTATTTATTACTGAAATGTAATGCTTCTAAAGTGAAATGTAATTACTTCTAAAGTGAAAGATTCTGTGTATAATATTCCTGTCTTTTACTGTAATTTACAAAACGTTCCTATGACAGGCTAGGTTCACATTCAAAAAATGTTTTCAGTTTTGCTAGGCAAGCTTAAGTGATAACTTTCTGTGTCTTTTGATAAAAACAGACCTAAATTGCTCAGGTGAATCTCTGTGGTTCTATAAGCAAATTCGTTAGGAACTATGTGGAATGCCCTTATGGAGGGGTTTGGTTTGGCGGGATGACACTGCCCTGGGGCACTGCATGGGGGTCAACTTGTTACCAGTTACTGGGGTCAGCTGGGTCACCAGTTGCCACTGGTGCTCAGTAATATCTGAAGACATTTTTACCGATAATATTGAGATGTGAGCCTACAATCTAGTGCCTACAATTTGTGGCACACTAAGAAAATCTGACTTCAAGTGCCTGCCGATCCTTAAGTCTCACATGTTTATTTGTTGGGCATGAGAAATCACTGCATAGGTGTTTCTGGAAAGCAACATTACAAATGGATAATTTGAGCCAGAATATGGAAAAGTGGTCTCTCCATGAACCTGTGCCACAAAGACATTTGTCGATTAATCTCAAGAGTAATTATTTTAAGAACTGTAAATATGTATTCTTTAATCTCGTATGGTCATTTTGCATACCAAAAATTGTTATATAAAATTGTTTGAAATAAAAGGAAACCTTGTATTACTGATCACACAGGGGGCTTTTAAAATACAAGTTTCCCCGCTACAGCTCAGTCACCAGGACTCAGCTGAAAGAATAATACCTTAGTTTTTTGCTATTCTAATAAAGTGACAATCAATGACTGAAAGCTAATTCGTTCAGAGTATTGTGTAAAGCCACTTTGATCACAACAATGATAAAAGAGCTGTAAGAAGTCACGAGGGGCTAGCAAACACCAACTAGGTGCTTTGTTCTGAACTACTTCCGTGAAATGCACATACATGGCGTCTCAAGTCTTCAGTAATGCAACTACTAGTCAAGAAATGCTAGCTTTCAGAGCCAGATGTGCAGCCAGCAGTACTTGCTTTGTTAGATCTCAGAGCCAGATGTGCACTCAGCAGTATGAACTTTACATCTTTGCATGCGTTGAGGACATTCGGGTTTATTAATCCCCCCCTCCTCCCCGCTCCTGCATGTGGGTGAAATTCTCAGTTATGTGCGACTACCCTGAATTACCTGTAAAAATGAACAGATGTACATGGCATTTGTTAATTCTTTATTCAAGGGAAGCTATCTTTAGCCCAAATATTCATATTTCATGGTTGAGGAAACAGAGCAGTGACAAACTTCCATGGAAGCCAGCCAGACAATTCTGTGGAGAGAAAAAGGGTGGATTAATGAGCAGACTCTCTGAGTAACCCCCACACTGGGACGATCACCCACGTGCAGTCTGGGTAGCGCCTCCATTTTGCTCACTCCCCGTGAGTACCCACCACCCTCCATCCATACCTTCCCTGTCCTTTTCTGCTTTGGTTGATCAAGTCCTGCATTTTCCAAGTTCTTCCCAAGGTGGTTCTCATATACATACTATTCTTAAAATCAGCACCCAGTACAGAAGGGAGAGCGCATCAATCCCCAGAATTCCCAGGCAGGGAGCACAAAACCAGGAGTATTGCTGGGTAGGGCCCTAAAATTTACACCAGCACCCCAAACAATAGTTGGTTTCCTGTCCTTAGTTGGCTATGTACTACACACACTTCTGGGTTGTGGATGAAGAGGTTCCACACCCCCGCCCTTTTCAGAGAAGAAGGAAAAAAATCCCCCAGGTCCCCAAGTCTACCTTCTTCCACAAGCATAAAGTACTCAAGTTGTACCCAAAGCATTAGCTCCCTCTCCAAATTGTTCCAGTGTCCTTCAGAAGTAACATTTTGGGCAACACTGAGGTACTGTACAAATGAGTGTTCAAGAATTGGGTATTAGGCACATTCCTTATTTGCAAAGTTTTCCTTGAAGTCTTTTGGAAAACGAAGCCCCACATCTTGAGGAAGGTGCCTAAATGCACTAGTTGAAATGCTCAATCAGGAACAGTGTTCTAAGAACAACAGATTCACAGGCTCTTCTCAAAGTTGAGCTTCGAATAAAGTGAAAATACACAAATGACAAGATTCCAGAGGCTGATGTCTCATCAGGTCCCTGGCACATCGTTCCAAATCAATGTAGTGGACCTTGTAAGCAGATTAGCCAAGCCTTTCCTACATGTAATAGACTCACTTTTCTCTTTCTTCCTCAAACTCACATTAAAGCAACTCACAGTCTAGGATATGGAAATAATTTCATAAGAAGTTCATACATCAGTAGGAAAGAACATGATGAACTCCAGGATCCCGTCCATGCAGAAAAAGCAGTTAAGCTGCAACCATCACTTAAGCAATAAACGCCATACTCAAATGGACAATTAAAAAAATTTTTTTCTGGGGCTGGCGCAATAGCACAGTGGGTAAGGCATTTGCCTTGCACGTGGCCCACCCGGGTTCGATTCCCAGCATCCCATATGGTCCGAGCATTACCAGGGGTAATTCCTGAGTGCAGAGCCAGGAGTGACCCCTATGCATCGCCGGGTGTGACCCAAAAAGAAAAAAAAATTCTGTTTTCATGCACTGCTCTTACCTTCTTGGTGCCCAACTTTCAAACAAAAGATCACCGAACATGCTAAGAAAGGAGAAGGTGGCCTATTTAAAGGAACAAACTAAAACTTCCACAAGCGAATGCCAAAAAGTAGACTTCCAGCTTTCTTGAAAATTTTACAATAGCAGACTTAGGTGGGCTCAATGGGAATGTGAAAATAATGAAACTCATGAGCTTTGCTGGTGGTGAAAACTGGTACAGGGCTAGAGAAGGAGCTCAGTGTCTTGCATATGGCAGACCTGGGCACTGCATTAGAAACAAAAAATTATAATATGACCCACCAACTCCACCCATGAATTATTCTGAAGTATCAGAAAGAGGATCTCTAAGAGATGTACAACTCATAGCATTATTCACGAAAGTTCAGAGATGACAGCAAATGTCCAGTAATAGAAAACTGAATTTCACATTTAAAAAGGAAATTCTCACTCCTGCCATAATTGTTGAATCTTGATGCCATTACATTAAGTGAAATGAGCTGGTCATGGAAAGATAAAGACACATGATTACACTTACCCTAGGTAACCACCACAGCACTAGCACTGTCCTCCCATTGTTCATCAATTTGCTCGAGTGGGCACCAGTAATGTCTCCATTGTGAGACTTGTTGTTACTGTTTCTGGCATACAAATATGTCACAGGTAGCTTGCCAGGCTTTGCCATGCGGGCGCAATACTCTCAGTAGCTTGCCGGGCTCTCCGACAGGGGCGGAGGAATCGAACCCCGGGTCCCTGGGTCGGCAAGGCAAACACCCTACCCACTGTGCTATCGCTCCAGCCTCTAGGTAACCAAGCATATTCAAATTCAAGACAAAAAGTAAAATGGGAACAAAAAGTACAGGATTAAGGCAATTGCCCTGCATGCAGCCAATTCCCAGCACTGCACGTTATACCACTCGGTGTGGCCCCAAATCCCTTCAACTCCCCTCAAAACAGAATGGTGGTTACAAATGAATTAACAAAAATTCTGCAGAGGGGCTGGAGTAGTAGCACAGCAGGTAGGCGGCTTGCCTTGCACACAGCCAACCCACGCTGGATGCCCAGCTCTCTGTATGGTTCACCCCCACTAGGACAACCCCCGAGTGCAGAGCCACGTGTAACCCTCCAAAAATGTAATTTTGTGATAGTACATTTTATGTGTATATTTTACTACAATTAAAAAGTTTAGAACAGTATATCCAAATAGCTCTTATTACCTTTCATTTCCCAAATCATTTTGTGCTCTGAAAGATGCCAGCCCTTCTCATCTCCTCAAAATCTTTCATGGAATCATAATTTCTATAGAAATCCGCATAAGCCTTCTTTCTTCGTTCAGCCACGCCAAACTAAAAAGGAAGAGATAGCATGAGGGCTCGAAAAGGTATTTTCTAGAAACTGAGGATAGGTACGGTAAATCAGTGTGCTTGTGTTCAACTGCTGTCATAAATCCTGCATTTGCCAAATGAAGCGCAGAAGAGTCATGCAGAAGCACGGAAAACAAACAGAAACTTCAGATAAACAACAGCGCGGGTCCCTGCTAGCCTCGGGTCAGCATATTTCTTCTGGGGTCTGTTTGGGGGGGCACGAGCAGCAGAATAAGACGCAGGAACAGGTTGCTAAGTTCCTTCCACTAAAGACTAAATAGTCCCTAACCACAGTTGAGGTTACAAAGTATTTTTTTCCTGACCAAACACTGCCTGGGCGATTTTACTGTGTGAATCAGGGCCCAAACCCTAATCTTCTCCTGAATATAAAAACCAACAAAAGGGCTGGGACGGCAGGTAAGGTGCTTGCTCTGCCCAGCACTGACACTGGTTCAATCCCCAGCAGGACCAGCTGTGATCTCTGAGCAGAGACAGGAGTAAGCCCTGAGCACCACAGGGCACGGGCTGACCCCTTCCCCAGGCTCCACACACACAAAGAGAAAAATCCTCGTAGAAATTCTTCCAAAAGTTGCAGGCGGCGGGGGATGTTGGTTAGATAGCTCACAGGTGTGGCCCCCAAACCAAAAACAACCTAGATTTCTCAGTGCTTTGGGAACCTTCCTTCAGGTCTATACAGAAGCAGACTCTTCACATTTCATTCACAACCAGGTTTCCAGCACAGTCCCAGCCTCTAATTCAGTAGACCGGATAGACTGGGAAGTGTTACTTAAAATGAAACTTGCCCCTATGTCTAGACACATGTATCACAGACAGGATGAATCTCCCCTCTGAAACACACGGCCTATAACAAATCATTGGGACAAAGGTGACCACAACCAAGCCACTGGAATGAACGGACTCCCCATTCACTCCCAAGAGAAAACCACCAGCCAGCAGATCAGGAAGGATGGAAGGAATCTGCCTCGGAGATCGGAGGTTCTTACTGTCCAAAAGCATGGGAAAACGCCCACCTGGTGAGGGCTGGGGAGGGGGTGTATCAGAACCCGGGTGGGGAGAGGCAGAGGTGGAGGCCAGTCCAAGACGCTTGGAGGACAGGAAATACGGATGGTGGCTGGACCCCAGCTGGTTCCCGAGAACCACCAGCAGGGCTGATACATCGCCGGGGGGCGGGTCCCACTGGACACTGGCCATGGGCCCTCAGACCGCCCTTCCAGCCCTGCCCTGCTGACAGGGCTGACCCCTGTCCCCACAGGCGAGAGTGCTGGAGAGGAGCCGCACTGCGCCCAAGAAATCCCTGTGCAGCTCACCCCCGGGCATGGGCAGCGAACAGGAACGAATCCGAAGACCCTGCTCCCGATGCAGGCCTGCAGGCAGGTGAAATTCGGGTGAAATCTAGGTGCCAGGCTGACCCTTGGCAGAAGCAGCAACACGCAAACGCGAGAATAACCGAACAGGTCTTGGGGTGGCAGAGACAGCACAGCGGCTAAGGCACCTCTCTTGCTCGCTGCCGGCCCCGACTCTACCCCCATCACCGCACCTGCCCCCCCACGCCCCCCACCAAGCCGGCAGAGTCAAGAATAAAGGCTGAGCAAGGGCAGGTGTACCCCCACCCCCACCACACGGGGTACCCTGAAAGGGAAACCAATGACCTTGGAGCCAAACGTGAAAATGACTAGAGGCGAGGGCAGAAGGCTAAAAATGTTGAACCCCACACCCCCGCCCCCCCCCCCCAAAAAAAGGGAAAAATCTGGGCTGGAGCGACAGGGCGGCAGGTACAGCCTGGCACGTTGGCAGACCCAGATTCGATCCCCGGGACCCCA